CAACGGTAGTCGACGAGGGGAGCTCGGCGACAGCAGCCGACAGTGCTGGTCGACGGAGGGGTTCGTTGACCAGGGTGTTGCTCGACGGGAGCTGTGGAGGCACTTGGTGGTCGACCAGAGGCACTTGGTGGACGACCAGAGGCACTTGGTGGTCGACCAGAGCACTTGGCGGTCGACCAGGTAACCTGCTCGACGAGTTCTGCGGAGGCACGCGAATGTCGTCGAGGTCGTGGTGACGAAGGCGACTTGGGGCTGGTATCTCGAAGTCGATGTGGCTTGTCAGGCGCAGACAACAGCTGATGGATGCACAACGATGCAAGTCGGGCCAATCCTTTGCGCGCACCTGCGAGCGTGCGCACTGCTACCATCTACGGGTGCAACGCTGGACAGCCGTTATGCTGCAGCGTTGGCATGCCGTCGACCTGCTGTGTTGGGAGGTCGCCTTTCTGCAGTGCTGGCGCGGCTCCTCTACGCAACGCTGGCAGGCGTCGACCATGCTGTGCTGGCGGTCGACCAGGCAAGCTGCAGGGTTGCTAGGTGCCTGATGTAGTCATTTCTATCATTGCTTGTTCAATCATTCTGTAATGCAATCTTTGCCTAGTGGAAACACTTGCCGATTTCTCTCGTGAATGTGCAAGCGCTAAGGCACTAAGCAATGCTACGATCACTCCTAGTAGTTCGTGCCAACCCCCCCCCCCGTAGTCTAGCTCACTACTTTGTAGACTGACTCTCCGCAGCCTCCTACTATCCCCATGCCTCCTGCCATCCCATGGCAGCACGTTGCCCAACAAGGCACTGAGGGGCATCATCCATGCTGACATCTCCAAGATCACTGCCCTGTCCTACCTGTACGTCCCCCCAACCACTCAACCTCAACCCCACGCAACCTGGGGCGTTCAGTACAAGCGTGTATCATTTTCACACGCATGCTAGGGTTGACTAGACATCTGCACACCTGGGTCCATCCAATTCTTACCTTCACTGCCTCTTTTCCAACCTCTGCTCCCTCTTCTCATCCCACATCTCCCCCCTCCTCGCCCTCCTTCCCGTGCTCCTCCTCTCCCACGCCCACTCGCAGCAAGCTGTCCTACAATCTCTTCTCTGGTCAGCTCTCCGAGTTCGTCTCCACCAAACTGCCGCTCACCACCATGGCCACTCTGTGAGTTCACTGATAAGAACTCCCAAAAGTTTCACCAGCGTACCAGGAGAGTGTCAGGGTACCAGGAGGGACAACCACCTAGCGTTGCTTCTAGATGAGGCCCAAGGACCTGTCTCCCCTTGGCTCGTGAATCATTCAGCGCATGTTTGACCTGCCATTTCTTTTCCGCAACAGCCCGGCACATTACCTAGCGTTGAATCATCTATTGGTTGGTAGGCTTGTGCATCATGTACTGAGCTGAACCATCACAGTGCGTCATGGGTGCTCACCACTCCTCACGTTATTCACTCTCTTCCCCATGTGCTTCTCATGTGCCTCTCATGTCCTTCTCATTTGCAGGCCTGCATCTATCCAGGAATCTCAATTCCAACTACCTCTTTGATAGTATCCCTTCGGCTCTGCTTAACATGCCTCGACTAAAAATACTGTCAGTTTCATTATGCCCATCCCCAAACGCATATTATGCCATGCCCATGCTCACGCCCATGCCTATGCTATGACCATGCCACACCCATGCCTAAGCCCACCCCCACGTGTATGCTTGCACCTATGCCCATGCCCATTCCAACGCCCATGCCCATTCCAGCGCCCATGTCCATTCCAACGCCCATGCCCATTTTAACGCCCATGCCCATTCCCACGCTTCAACCCTTCCCCCCCTCCCCCCCCCCCCCCCCCCCCTTCCCCCCTCTCCGCACAGCCGGCTGGGAGCAAACAACCTGACAGGCACGCTGGCAGGCATAGCCACGCAACTACAGGTGCTAGCAATCGCCAGCAACCTCCTGGCGGGCCCTTTTCCAAAACAACCCTTCCAGCTGTGCGACATCCGCAGCAACTACCTCTCCTCGCTGGGTTCCTGCACCAACGATGCCGGTGTGGCTCAGCGCACCTCCGGCTGTGCCTTCTGTGGTTCCGCCACGGGCGCCCCGCCCTTCTGTGAGGGCACCGTTGGTCGCTGACTTCTGCGGCCTAGAAGTCGGCCACCTTTGTCGGCCGCCAAGGCGGGACGCCGTCTGTCGACTTCTCCTCGCCGGCCAGCATCTAGCTGGCTCTACAAATTTTGGCCTCGCCGAAGTTGGCCACGCCTTGGTCGACTTTGCAGAAGTCGGCCACCTGACCAACTAGCTCCGATCACCATAGCTGAAGTCGGCTCCGCGTGGTCGCCTTCACCGAAGTCGGCTAACCACCAAAGTCAGCTCGCTAGAAGTCAGCTCCACTGAGGTCGGCCAACCAAGCCGACTTGTTCCTCCAAGTCGGCGCCGACCAAAAAGCCTAGCCGGCAGCACACCTCGCAAGCCGGTCAACAAAGTCGACTTTGACCAAGCGAGGGCGGGGCCTTGCAGCAGCAGCGGTAGGAGCCGCAGCCGCAGAAACAGTGGTGGTTGTGGTGCCAGTAGCACCGGCAACTATGATTCGGCCGACTGACTGCATCCCCCACCACACTCACACGGACCACATGTGAACCCTCCCAGCATGCAGCAGGCGGAGCTACAAGATCCCCTGAGCAGCAGAAGGCAGGGCCCCAGGGCGAGTAGCGTGGACGAGTGGCAGATGCCGCGCATGGGCGGCAGGCACCCGTAGTGGCTGTACCACCTCTGGGCTGCTGTGTCGTTCGCCCACAGCAGCTCTAGGGAGGGTGAGGGGCCGGGGGGGGCGTGGTGTACGAGGAGAGGGAGACGGAGTGGGCGCGCTGGTCGTTGCTAACGTATGCTCTGGTCCGGTTCTGGGTTGTGGCAGTGTGGTCACGTGAGGCCGCTAGGGGAGGGACCTCGTATTGTGCCGCACGCCCCCACGCCCTTCCTGTGCTGCTGCACTACCTATGCCCGCGCACCCCTTTCACCGCCAAATCTTCGTCCCTTACATCCTCCCTGTTCCCCTTGTCCCCCGCTTCCTCTATGTTCACCGGATTGCCCTCCCCTCCCTGTTTTCCCCCCTCTCCCACCCCCCCCCCTCCCCACTCCCGCATACTGCTGTCCTCCAGGTCAATGCTGCTACCCCCACACCCCTCTTCGTGCCTCCACCTTCTTTACGACCGCCTCGGCCCCAGACCCCGGTGCCGCTACTGCTGCCACCACCGGCACTGCTGGCAGCCTGACCGCTACAGCTGGCCTGCCGCCGCGGCAGCCACCGCCGCTACAGCAGCCTTTGACCCGATGGCGAACAGCCACGACTCGCTGCGACCGTCCGCGTGACATAGGCAAAGATACGAGGCAACGCCACATGGGCAGGCGAATGAGGCAGTGCAGTAGCGCGTCGTTGGGCAGCACCGCAATCGGGCATGCGGCGGCAGGAGAGGCGGAGAGGTATCGAGGTGACAAGCGGCGGGGTGACTTGTATTGAGGAAGTGCAGTGAAGTGCGTGGGGATGAGCCGCCGGTCCTGCTGGTACCAACCGCATTCGTTGGATCGGGAGCCGGCGCCAGCAAGGGAGTAGCCGCGTCGCAACCACTAGCGGCGCATATTACTGTATTCTCCCGGACATAACACCCTAGGAAAAAACTACATAATACCCGGGTCTTTACAGGAAAAAAATACAGGAAAAAAAATGGGGGTGTCTTCTCATAGGAAAAAACTACATAATTCCCGGGTCCTTACATGTGGCATATTCTAGTGTTAGTGTGGGTGTTTTGATGGTCGTTTTAACATCATTGTCCGAGGCGCGAATGTGAGTTTCGGCCGCGAACTTCATCACCCCCACGAAAATGCCATGTGCCACCTCTCTGGCCACTTGCAGCGGAAGATTCACCAGCACGTGGCGACAGCGAAATAGTGGGAGGGGGGAAATCTCGGCAGATTGTAAATGAAAGTACCGCGAAATTTCATCGAGGGAGAAATTCTCGCGATATTCTTCCGTGTTGCAGCTACTCGTTAACGACTATAATAATTAACCCGTAAGAAAAGGAGGGTGTTCTAGAAAATCACCCAAAAAGGGGGGTGTAGTAGAAACGAGGTCGCCCATAGCACCCACCCCGCACAAGCTACCCGGAGGTGTACAATTACGGGGGGGTGTTTTGTCCGGGAGAATACGGTATGTGGATCCAGAAGGACAGGTCTGAAGTGGCAGTTGCGCCTACTACCATATCAGCGTGGACTGCGTGCAAAAAAAGTCGTGGGTCCACGGAGAGCGCCGGTGCAACTACGATACTGGTGGATGGCTCAACGTGCAACTTCTTGGAAGGAAATACGAAGACGACGGCTGCCGGTGCGACTGCGTGTTCTGTTGCTGCCGCTGCTATCCCTGCTACCGTTGCTGCCATTGCTGCTGCCGTTGCTGCTGCTGCTGCTGCTTCTGTTGCTGCTGCTATCATCTTCGGCCCTTGGCGCTTGCTGCTCACCAACGCCCCCGCTGCAGTAACGGAGCGCCAGCTGGCAAAGCCGTTGATCAAGGTGGCTGGGGAGGAAGGAGAGCACGACAGGGAGGAGGGGAGGTGATGGTAGGGGGATAATGCAAATTGGGATGAAGCATGACTGATGTACGGGTTTGTTCGTCACCGTGACTGTGAGAATACATATATCGTCACTGTTACCGTACTAGTACCAAACAGGCTTACACGAAATGCCTTGACAGAACTGTGATGAACAAAGGTTGAATAAATTTGTAAGAAAGTATCTGAAAATGAAAAAACCAATTAACATACCTACTGTTGAGAGATTCAGGCCTGATATTTGCTCAATTAAGAAACTACATCTGCTGTTATGCCAACTAGGCTGTTCCCATCCCACCAAACCCCTATGCCTCGAACAAGCAGTCTCGGCCTATCAGCGTAGTCTACCCTCCAATCAAAGGGTTAAACAAGGAGAACAAAAGCAAAGGCAGTAGGCCACAAAATGCATCAACCCTTCTAAGGAGTGCAGAGGTAGCCAATGCAGTTGGAGACAGCAGGTGCCGTACACTTCAGCCCCTGGCAGCGCCAGTCAGTGGGGCAGGCAACAGGTGCAGCTGCAGCGCACACAAGGTCTGTGAACCAGGGGCACGGGAGAAGGGAGAAGGGGAGATGTTAGAACAGGTGGAAAACGGGAGAAGGACAGTCAGGCAAGCAGCAGCAGCAGCAGCAAATGCTTGCATATCGAATAGGGAAGCTTTTGCAAGAATGGAACATTATTCTTTCCTGGCCCAGCAGCAAGCTGAAGCACCACTCACCAACGCAAGCCATGGGGAGAACAGCAGCAGCAGCAGTATTCGCCGTCTTGGCAGTGAACAGTGCAGCGGCATTGGGCGTGCACACCCCTGTACCACCGCACAGCATGCCCTGACCACTCGCACTGCCGCAGATATCACACCCCGGCGCTCGCTGTGCCGTATTGCCCCCCTCGGTAGGAGTGTTGCAGGAGGTGGCGCTGGTGAAGCAGTTGGCAGAAGAGACGCAGGAGGTGGCGGAGTTGGCAGGGAAGGTGCCCGAGAGGAAGTTGTTGGAGAGGACGATTGCCTTGAGCGATGCTGACACCGGTGGCACGCGGTAGGTCAGGTAGTTGTACGCCATGCTCCTGCCTCGCAAAAGGTTCAGAGGTGGGGGAGGGGGAGTGGGGGTGGTGCGGTTGGGAGAGTGGGTTAGACGCAAGACCTGAACCAATTATCATATGGACGAATAGGAGAAGGCTGAGATGTTGTGGAGAGTCGTTTGGCACCAAAGTAAGAGCGTGGAGATAAGTTAGCGGTGGCATATGGTAGAGCATGCGGCATTCGGCATGGAGCATGGGGCTTGGGCATGTAGCATTGGGGTATGGGGCATGGGGCAAGCAGCATGGGGTATGAGGCATGGGGCACGGCACTGACAGGCGGGTGAGTTTGGTCATGGCGAGGAGAGGCGGGGGCAGCGAGCCCTTGAACCAGTTGTAGTCCAGCAGGCTGGCGGGGAGAGGGGTCCAAACGGAGGGTTGCAGAGGGGCACAGAGGTGGGCAGAGGAACACAGAGGACACACATATAAGAGGGGCACAAAAAAAGGACATAAGAGAAACATCTAAGAGGTCCACTGCACCTAACGGCAACACTAAGGTGTTAGAAGCTGAATGCAGAACGGATGGGTCGTTGTAGAAAGAATGCGCCTGGAAAAGGATTGCAAGGTGGGAAAGGGACCACTAGGTTCGCGGTGGGATGGCAGCAGTGCATGCAAGGCTTGGTTGGAGTGCAACAGGAGCACTCGGACTGCAAGGGCGGGAAGAGACTCACAGCACGGCCAGGTTGGTGAGGGCGGGAAGCCTCAGCGCAAAATCTTCAAGGCGTGCCCTGAAGAGATTGGACTGCAGGTTGCTGTGAGGGGGAGCACGGCAGGTGCACAGGGGGGCCGCAGGGGCGGCACAGGGTGGCACAGGGAGGCATATGGGGGACACAGGGGGGCACAGTGGGGGTACAGGGGGGTACAGTGGGGGTACAGGGGGGCATAGTGGGGGCATAGAAATGGAGAGATAGAGGACGGAATGAGGGAAGAGGGGATGGAATAGTAGCCAAGACGAGGGAGTGGTGGGTGCAACACAGATAGGTAGTGGTTGGACGATAGAAGCAAGAGAATGGGACCCCATACATTAGCATGGGTGAGAAAAGACTCACGTAGCAGGGTTGCGTGAATGCATGTGAGTGAGTATTACAGACTATTGCTGGTGTACGTATTAGTTGCTCCGTCTGTTTAAATGATAATGGTATGCACTCGAGTGTTGGCGCGAGAGTGAGAGCATACATACATTCGCTCACGTGCTTGTGCGTGCTTGCAGGAACAGAAAGCTTCTCACAAGTATGTAAGACAAGTGTGCAGGTGTGCACTCACAGGTGAGTAAGCGCAGTGAGCTTGGTGACGTCAGCAGGGAGCACTCCGAACAGCTGCTGGTTGTTGAGAGTGCTGGCACAGGTGGGCAGGCAAAAGAAGTGGAGGTAGGAGAAGGATCAAGTGGGAGAAAGTTCGGGATGGAAAGAGCAGGAAATGGATCAGGCAAGGGATCACTGGAGCAATTGGGGATTTAACATCAGGAAAAGGGGCAGAAGCAGGGGGAAGCAGGGAAGTGATTGGAGTAGGGGAAGGTGATGAGGAGGGACGAGGAGATTGAGGAAGACCCATTGTTTGTTTCATTATGATGGTTAATGCTACTGAATTTCTTTATTCCTCGTTTCACTATTTACACTCACATTCTTCACAGGGTTGCCACGTTTTTGAGAAATTTCAAATGTCACACACAACACAAGCCAGGATTCCAAATGCGATTCCCTATATTGAAACGAGCTCGCCTGCACAATAAAACAAGTTAGGGTTCTACCAAACATGAAAAACGTTCAGGTTCTATCTAACATTGAATCAATCAATCAAGTGCTCACATCTTGACGGGGTTGCCAGCTGAGTCACACTCCACACCCGTCAGGCTCCCGCTCGCTACAGTGCCACCTGTCCCTGCCAGCGTGCAGACAGCGTTTGCCACCCACCCTGTGTGTGTCACTCCCAAGGCTGTCTTGATGCTCAGCAGCGCTGCCACTGTGGGTGGGAGAGGGGGGTGGTGAAGAGAGTGGGGATTGAACAAGGATTTTTGAATGGGAAGGAGAGGGAGGTCAAGGTGGGAGGAACCAGTGAGCTGAGCACGTGTACCGAATGAGAAAGGAAAATGCAGCCAGGCAGGTCATTAACATGGCAATCCCCACGCTACACATGCCCATGCAGATTGGAAAGTGCAGAGCAGGGCGTGGCCCCTTGCTACCATATCCATGCCCCTGCAGAACGGGGCGCGCCCTGGGATGTCTTACTGGAAGCAGAGTTGACGGGTACAGCCGGCAGCAAGGAGCACTCTAGAGGGAGTGCAGGGGCAGAGGGGCCGTTGAGCGTGGAGAGGGATGCGAGGGAAGCAGCTGTGGGCTGGCAGGTGGACGCACCACCGCCGCCACACAACGCCCCTGTGCCATCGGCGCTACCGCAGATACTGCACGAGGCTCTCTGAACAGTCCCTTTGCCTCCGTCCACCGTGCAAGCAGCAGCACCCGAGAAACAGTTGGTGCGTGCCGAGCAGGACTGCCAGGAACCTGTTGGGAAGGTTCCCACGAGGTAGTTGTTTTCGAGGTCCAGGTGCTTCATGGTGGTGCTTGGAACCGGAACGCTCCCAGTGAGGTAGTTGGAGCCCAGACTCCTGTGGGATGAGGCATGTGTGGTGGGGAGCGGTGGCTTGGAATGAGTCTGGTAGATAGATAAAGCAGCAAACTTGCAGGGCAAGTAGTTTTGGCTACATAGGTGCATCACGTTCTCAAGTTAATGCAGCAGACGTAGAAGGACGCACAGAGGCATATACTCCTTTGTGCGAGGCAGAGGAAGGAGTGCAGAGGAAGTAGCTGAAGTGGCATGTGAACACATGTCATGATGGCCAACGAGAGGGTATGACAGGGCATGGCCTGGCATGGCATGGTATGGGCTGGCATGGTCTGGCACACAAGGACGTAAAGGTGGTCATCTCACAGCTTGGAGAGGCTCTTGAGTCCAATAAGAGCCGAGGGGATGGGCCCAAACAGGTAGTTGCAGTGCAGTTGACTGCACGGCACACAGGGAAGAGGATGGGGGGAAGGGGTGGATGGGGGGTGGATGGGCAGGTGGATAGGAAGGAATCGAGGGAAAGGGTGAGTAGGATCGACTCAGGTATTGCATTCGAGATTTCTTAAAGGTGTCGTAGGCCCATACGGGAGTTGCCTGTGAATTCTGCTGAGGTCTGAGGTGCTTCAGGTACGTACGGAAGGAGAAAGAAGGGCACACACAGCATATGAACGCAAGAGGGGAGAGAGCAGGGGACCAAGATTGCACTCGCTCAACAATGACATTTACAAACTCGGGGGGCTCATTTGACAATAGTTTAGGTACAAATCTCTCAGCCCCTACGAGCTCTGTAGCTAGGATTCTGCTATACCCCTTTACCTTTCTCTTGTACCCACCGCACCTAAATTGAAAGGAAGGGCCATTCGGGAGGAGCATGAATAGAAAGGAATGGAGTGCTTAAGAGAGAGGGATACAGGTTCTCGAGCTTGGTGAGGGAGGTGAAGGGCGCTGTGAAGGCATCCAGGCGACCAGCCAAGAAGTTTGAGTGGAAGACCCTGGGGGAAAGGCAGAGGGGGGTGTGGGAGAGAAGGCACAGGGGAATGGGTTGGGAGGAAGGTAGGACGGGCGAGGGCAGGAAATGGGGAAAGGTAGAAAGGGAAGGGGGGAAGGCATGAAGGGGGAAGGCAGGAAGAGGGAAGGCAGGAAGAGGGGAAGGCAGGAAGGGGAGAGGTGCAGGGAATGGCGGAGGGAGAGGGACATTGCAGAGCACTGGGTTTACAGAGCAGTGGGCTTACAGAGCAGTGGGCTTACAGAGCAGTGGCCTTACAGAGCAGTGAGCGCAGTGAGCTTGGAGATATCTGCATGTATGGACCCAGCCAGCTGGCGCGTGTTGAGGTTGATCTCCACCACAGCACCGGCCGGGCTGCACAGCACGCCTCCCAAGTCCCTCGGGCCAGGGGAGGAGCTGCTGACTCCGGAAACAACAATGACCACCGTGCACAGCGAGTTCCCTCCCCAGTCCGTGAGAGGCACTCCCAGTGCCGCCTTGAGACTCCCAAGCACCGACACTGTGGGGTGGGGGTGGGGGGAGGGGAGAGGGTGGGGAGAGAGGGCGGGAGGAGAATACCACAGCGAGGGAAGATGTTGAGGGAAGCAAGGGAGTGAGGGCGTAGAGAGAGGGGGGACACCAGGGGGTGAATAGCAAACAGGAGGCAAAGTACAGTGTAGTATTGACAAGTCCCAGCCCAGAGTCAAAAGCCCTCAAGTGTCCCAGAAGTATGAGGTGCCTGAAGTGCAGAAAGTGGAAATTAGGGGCACACCTGCTGTGGCATCAATGCGAACACCCGAACACTGCATGGGCAGCAATGTAGCCCAGTAGTCGTTAGGCGTGAGGGAAGCCATTGGCCCGGTAGTGTCAGGCGCGCACACCCCTCCATTGCATATCACCGCACCGGAACTCCCAGCACCATAGAGGGTGCAGTCAGAGGCGAGCCTCTGGGAGGAGGAGCCAGAGGTAAGGCACTTGGAGGAGTCTGCTAGGCAGTTGTCACGAGCATCACATGCAGTGGTTGAAGATGCTGGGAAGGTTCCTGTGAGGAGGTTGGAGCCGACGTCGAGGGACTTGAGGGAGGCGGAGGGAGTGCCGGTGATGGGACCAGCGAGGTAGTTGGAACGTAGGTTGCTGGAGAAAGGGGGAGGGGAAGAGGAAGGGCCGATGGAGAGAGAAAAGGGGGTTGAGTAAGGCAAGGCACGAGTATGGAGGCATGCAGTGTAGTGAGGGCAGGGTGCCATCCATGATTGGTGATTGGAATGCGAAAGTGACGTGATGAACCAGGAAGACTGCACGTGTATAAGCAAGGTGCAAAAAAACGACGTATTTTTCAAATATTGACCGTAAAATACCATATCGTAAAAAACGATAAAAACGTTTTTTTTCTTCATTTTGGTGCAAAAAAACCATCGTTGTTTTCAGTAAAATAATCAACACTGCTGCTAAAACAAGGGGATTGTTTGGTGAATAGAACGAGGGAGCTGTTACAAGTGCTCCTGATGCACCAGGAGATGGTTAGAAGTGTTTTTTTGTTCAAAACAGCATCTTTGAAGATCAAGTTTTTTTTTTTGCCTAACAAAAAACACCGTTTTTTCCCCAAAAGGTGTCGTAAAAAACCATCGAAAAAAACAATCGTATTTTTCGACAGTCGTTTTTTTCCACCTTGTATAAGGATTGGGTTGCACAAGTTGGGGTGCTTACAGTGTTGAGAGGGATGTGCTTACAGCGCTGAGAGGGAGGACATGGTGAGGAGGAACGAGGGCAGAGGGCCGGAGAACCAGTTGTAGGTGAGAGACCTGGAGGGTAGGGGCGGAGGGAGAGAAAGTCACTCCAAAAAAACTCGTGCAAGAGAGGTTTCACATGAGGATAGGGAGAATATAGGTACACGCAAGAAGGGAACCACGGCCTTGCCTAGTCAGGTCGGGCTTGATTCCATGTGGCCTTGTGTGGCCCGGCGTGGAACCACACAGAAAAGAAAGCCTGGTGTGTAGAATGCAATGCAAGGGAGCTGGCCATGCGGTGTGGCAGAGAGGAGGCAGGGTGTGAGGCAGTGTGTAGGACTGACAGTTGCTTGAGAGCCTTTAGGCCGGTGAGAGGCAGAGCCCACTCGCTCAAGCGTGCATCCAAGAGGTTGGACGCCAAGTTGATGCGAGCACAAGGGCACAGGGGCATGGGGACATGGAGACATGGAGGCAGCATGGGGCCATGGGGTCACAGGCCATGGAGACACAAAGAGGTGAGCGGAGGGGAATGTGGGGCGAGGGTTGGGAGTGGTGAAATGGGGGCTTGAAATGTTGTGAGGTTGCAGGGCCATGGCATGGTGTTAGAAAGCGGGGTGGAGATAAAAAATGCACATTTAGGGCAACGGATATGTGAGGCATGACGGACATGTGAGGCATGACGGACATGTGAGGCACAATGGACATGTGGTGGGGTGACAAACGAGGGATGGATGGTGGCCAATTTGTTGGTGAAAGCAGCAGCACTCACAGCCTGGTGAGCGCAGTGAGCCTGGAGATGTCGGAATGCAAGCTGCCACGAAGCTTCATGTAGGAAAGATCCCTGTTGTGACGTCAGCAAGCCCATGCCACCCAGGCACCAAGGAAAGAGGAGCAGCGGTGCAGCATCCAAGGATGGAGCATGCAAGGATGTGAAATTGAAGGGGCCTCACAAGTGTTACGATGAGGAAGAATCCGTGTGAAAAGCAGGTTCTGTGAGCATGTGAGCATGGTGTATAGAGTGCAGAACGAGGCATTTATCCATGGTGACAGTTAGAGTGTGATGGTGTCATGACAAGTGAGATACAGTCAGGACACTCTGCGCATGCCCATAAGGCACGCTCGCATCACGATGGCATGGACACGTGCAAGGGAAGCACAGGCTAGTCAGCAGCCTGTGAGGTGAGTTCGCGTGACTCCTTAAATAGCATGCACATAGCAGATGCACATATCAAATAGACGTACACATAGCAGATGCACATATCACACACGCACATAGCACAAGCACATATCACACACACATGCACATAGCACATGCACATATCACACACGCATGCACATACCACATGCACATATCATACACGCATGCACATAGCACATGCACATGTCACACACACATGCACATAGCAGATGCACATATCACAAACACATGCACATAGCACATGCACATATCACACAGACCTGCACATAGCACATGCACATATCACACACACTTGCACATAGCAGATGCACATATCACACACACATGCACATAGCACATGCACATATCACACACACTTGCACATAGCACATGCACATATCACACATACATGCACATAGCACATGCACATATCACTCACACTTGCACATAGCAGATGCACATATCACACACACATGCACATAGCACAAACACATATCACACACACATGCACATAGCACAAGCACATATCACACACACATGCACATAGCAGATGCACATATCACACACACATGCACATCGCACATGCACATAGCACATGCACATATCACACACGCATGCACATAGCACATGCACATACCATACACGCATGCACATAGCAGATGCACATATCACGCACAGATGCACAAAGCACATGCTAATATCACACAAACATGCACATAGCATAGCACATGCACATATCACACACATACGCACATAGCACATGCACATATCACACACACATGCACATCGCACATGCACACATCACACAAGCATGCACATAGCACATGCACTAGGGATGAGCAAAGGGCGAACACGATCGTGTTCGCCCCTTCTCGAACACGGCCTTTTGCCAAACCGAATTCAGTTCGGTTCGCCGAACGACTTCCCCAAAAAAGGGTGTTCCGCGTTCGCCTGTGAAGGCGTGTTTGGGCGAACCTCGAACACGTTCGTGTTTGACACGGGGCGTTCTGCAGCAGCGCCACGAACACAAACGTGTTCGGGCGAACCTCGAACATGTTCGGGCGAACGAATTAAGCTGAAAAACAAAACCTGTTCGGTGGTGTTCGCCACCTTGCTCAAGCCTAACATGCACATATCACACACACATGCACATAGCACATGCACATATCACACAAGCATGCACATAGCACATGCACACAACATACACGCATGCACATAGCAGATGCACATATCACGCACAGATGCACAAAGCACATGCACATATCACACAAACATGCACATAGCATAGCACATGCACATATCACACACAGATGCACATAGCACATGCACATATCACACACACATGCACATAGCACATGCACATATCACACACACATGCACATAGCACATGCACATATCGCACACACATGTACAAGCACATGCACATATCACACACACATGCATAAAGCACACGCATAAAGCAAACGCCCATATCCCATGCAAAGAGCCCACCCACACTTATCCCCCTCACACACATCACCCCCCACGCACAGGCTAAGGACTTGACCCGACAGGTCACAGACGACGCCCGTCCAGCTGTCCACCGCGGGGGCGTTGCCCGCCAGCGTGCAGGGCGAGTCCACCGCCCAGCTGCTCGCACTCACGCCCAGCCCCGCCTTTAGTGCCAGCAGCGCCAGCGCTGGGGGGAGCCGAGGGGAGGGGCAAGGGGGGGAGGGGAAGGGCCAGGGGGATTGGAGGGAGCAGAAGGGAAAACAGTGGAGAGGAAGGCAGGAAAGGTGTGGGTGAAGCATGGCAGACACTGGGCGAAGTGTGAAGTGTGGGGGGTTGGAGCGCTGATCTCTGCAGTATGAGTATCTAAGGCAGATGCTCAGTGTCAGCCCAGGTTGTCAAGACACGAGGGGGAGCATTAAGGACACTCGTACACGAGTAGTGATCCTGGCACACGCGCACTGCTGCTGGATCCGACAAAGAGTGCTGATTCTCACGCCCGTGCAGTCCAGTCCTATGAACAAATACGTTTCAACTTTCATGAAGGGCTATAAATCCCCACTCACCCGAGTTGTCATCCACTGCAACGGCCTGGCAGAACATTGCTGGGAGGGTGGCAGCAAGGTCGTTGACAGTGCCAGCAGCAAGGCGAGCAGCGACATCGGGAGTGCAGGCGGTGCCCGCACAGAAGGGTGGGGCGCCCGTGGCGGAACCACAGAAGGCACAGCCGGAGGTGCGCTGAGCCACACCGGCATCGTTGGTGCAGGAGCCCGGCGAGGAGAGGCAGTTGCTGCGGATGTCGCACAGCTGGAAGGGCTGCGTGGGGAAGGCGCCCGCCAGGAGGTTGCTGGCGATGGCCAGCACCTGCAGCTGCGTGGCCATGGCTGGCAGCGTGCCCGTCAGGTAGTTCGCTCCCAGCCGGCTGGAAGGAGGGGAGGGGGTGGGGGGAAGTAGGTGAAGTAAAGGGGGGAAGAGGGTATTGAATTCAATGAGAGAAATTAGGCAGCGTGCCCGTCAGGTAGTTTGCTCCCAGCCGGCTATGTGGAGGGGGGAGAGGAGGGGAGAGCGGTGAAGGAGGGAGGGGAGGGGGGTTGAAGGCAATGAAGGCATGGAAATGGGCATGGGCATGGGCATGGCATGGCATAGCATAGGAATGGACATAGCAAAGGCATGTACGTGGTCATGGGCATGGAAAATTTGACAGTTCTGTGAGTCGAGTCGAGGCATGTTGGGCATGAGCGTATATATGGGCATGGGCACAGGCATGAGCACAGGCATGAGCATAGGCATGGGCATGGGCATGGGCATGGCAAAACTGACAGTTCTGTGAGTCTAGGCATGTTGACCAGAGCCGATGGGATACTGTCATAGAGGTAGTTGGAGTTGAGATTCCTGGAAATGAGAGCACGACATTGAGAGCACATGAGAAGCACATAGGGAAGATAGTTATTGGAGTGAGGAGTGGTGAGTACCCATGGTTCGCTGGATGATTCAAGAACCGAGGAGGGACATGTCCCTAGGCCTCATCTGGCAGCAACGTTGGGTGATGGTTCCCTGGTACCCCGACACTCTCACAATGGCCATGCTGGCGAGACTTCTGGGAGTTCGGAAAAGGCAACTCACAAAGAGCTCAATGGCCATGTTGGTGATGCTTTTGGGAATTCTCGATAGTCAAACAAGGTGCAAAAAAACGACTTTTTCAGATTTTGACCGTAAATTACCGTATCGTAAGAAACGATCGAAAAAAACGATAAAAAAACTATTAAAATATAATAATATGGGTGGAAAAAAACCATCGTTTTTTTCAGTAAAAACACAAAAGTGCTGCTGTAACAAGGGCGTCATTTGTAAAAACCCTTCGAAAAAACCAATCGTATTTTTCGACAATCGTTTTTTTTCCACCCTGTAGCCAACTCACAGAGTGGCCATGGTGGTGAGCGGCAGCATGTTGGAGACGAACTTGGGGAGCTGACCAGAGAAGAGATTGTAGGACAGATCGCTGCAAGAGCAGGTGGGAGAGGAGCACGGGAAGGAGGGAGAGGAGGGGCGAGATGTGGGATGAAAAGAGGGAGCAGAGGTTGGAATAGAGGCCGTGAAGGTAAGAGTTGGATGGATCCAGGTGTGCAGACTCCAAGCCGACCCTAGAATACGTGTGTGAAAGTGAGAACATGATTGTAGAAAACGCCCCAGGTGCGTGGGGTTGAGGTTGAGGGTTGGGGGACGTACAGGTAAGTGAGGGCAGTGAGCTTGGAGATGTCTGCATGGATGATTCCCCTCAGTGCCTTGTTGGGCAACGTGTTGCCATGGGATAGCGGGAGGCATGGAGATAGCAGGAGTAAATGCATACGCAATGAAGGACCATACACACGTGCCCTTTGTCCCCATGGCAGTGGAAACCCTTGGCAGCCCATGTGCTGAAGTCCCCGTGCCCCTCAAGCTCCTGTCAAACGCGGCTGCACGACGTTCTTCAACGCTGCCCCCTCAACCTACCAGGCAGCTAAGCTGCTCCACCAATACCACCAGCGGTGGTGGGTGGCGCTTCAACGGGGGCAGCAGGTCGGCTTGAGCATCAGGGCAAAGACCAGGCTCTAGGCCGAGAGCCCGGCGATGGGTGCCCCCGAGGAGTCCATGGGAGCTGGAGATGCGTTTGGCATGTTGGAGCCCTTCATGGTTCTCCCTTGATATAACTCCACGCTGGCAGCCTACAACACTCAACACTCACCTTGTATGTCGTTGCATTCTTTGAAAGGCTTGTACCGAGGTGTATATCAAAAACATGGGACATTTGAGAGAGAGAGAGGGAGAGAGAGAGAGAGAGAGAGAGAGAGAGAGAGAGAGAGAGAGAGAGAGAGAGAGAGAGAGAGAGAGAGAAATTCAGGCAACGGTGGTCGGTGGCCCTGCAGAGAGCACAATCCGTGGGACTCCTCCTTAAGTTGGGCGAGGCAGCAGCGGCAGAAAACCCCCCTGTGGGAGGCATAGGGCAGGAGCTGCACCTTGGGGATTGCTTCGCGGTAGTTGAGCCTTTTCTGGAGCTCTAGAGAGGGCGGTGGTATGGTAGTTGTGTGACTGGTTGGTGTTGTTTGTTTGTTTGGTTAGCTAGACCTTGCCATCCATATCTCGCATGTCTGTACCTTCCAACTCTATCAATATACGGACCATTAGAGAGAGAGAGAGAGAGAGAGAGAGAGAGAAATAAAGAAAGAGTGAGTTCAAGGTGAGCAGGAGGGCAGGGGGGCTCACATGGAGAGGACGGTGCTGTTGGCGCTCCGTCAATGCACCACACTCCTGGAAACGACTTGAGGCTGGCTGTCTGCCCTTCAATGTTGCACTTGCTGCCGTTGCGCCAGTCTGTGTCTCTGACCCCAAGAGCCGCCCCCACCTTCAACAGTGCCACCACTGCCGGTGGGAGTGCACGTGGAGGGGAGGGGGGGGGGAGGGGAGAGGATGCTGAGTGGGTGCATGCACGTCTTCAGTGTGGTGAGGGATGAAGGGATTACATGTCCTCTGCTCGCATGGAATTGGCTTGCAGCACACGAGGATGATGGTGGTGGTGGTGTGACGACGCTACAATATGGGTGGTGGCATGTGAAAGAAAATGAGTGTGGCAGAAGAGTGGGAGATTACGGGAAGCAGAATGAAGGATCGTGGCAGTGCATGTGAAGGCAACTGAGAGGGATTTGGGGCCACTTCACGGACTCACACCTGGCAGGAGGGAAGGAGGGAAGGGGCTCACCAGAGGCTGCATCAAGGGGCACGGCAGCACATGCCATCGGAAGGATGGGAGCAGCAGCACTGTTGGGAACCTTAGCGAGGGAAGGAGAGAGGATAGGCATGCAGGTGCCACCTCCACACAACGTCGGCTGCTTCTTCGTTGGTGAGCCACACATGTTGCACCCTGTTGCTGGCCTTTGTGCCGTTCCGTCCAGGTTGGGGCAAGCTGAAGCGTCGCTGAAGCAGTTGAGGCGAGCGTTGCAGGCTGCTAGTGTGGCCGTGGGGAAAGTGCCCGAGAGGAAGTTGGCCTGCGTGTCGAGAATCTTGAGGGTGGCACCGGGCTTGGGCAGCGAGCCTGTCAGATAGTTGTAGCTGAAACGACTGGTGGTTGGGATGGAGCGGGGAAGGAGGGGAAGATAGGGAAGAGAGGTGGAGAATGGAAAGGGGGGGATAAGAAAGGAGTGGTAATGAAAGGGGAGATGGGAAGGAATGGCGGATAAGGGACAGTAGAGGTGAATGGAAATGTGAAAAGGGTTACGGAGTTTGTCACAGGTTGAAGACTGGGGTCATGCGGGATTTTCGCGCTTTTTCTGTTAAAGATGTAACAAATCTCTTGCAAAGAGGACACGAGACAAGGAGTTCAAGCGCGGGTTGTTACAGATTGGAGAGGGCGGCCATGGTCACGAGCTTGGATGGCACAGAGCCGTAGAGCCAGTTGAAGCTCACCGCCCTGGTGGGACAAGTAAAGGCATGCACACATGCAGAGATGCGTGCGTGATGCATGCATGCAAACATGCACACACACGATGCACACACGCACACAAGCAGAGACGCATGCATGGTGTATGCATGCACACGATGCACACACGCACACACACATACACATGCACACTAGAACACAACCGCATACATGCGTTGAAGGGACAGGAGTGATTAGGACGAGGAATGGCAGATGACGAGCAACGCATGAGACGGTGAAAAACACAAGTGTCGAGCAAGTGAGCAAGGCAGATCCCTGCAACACAGCAGCAGTAGAGATGGTGCAGAGAATTGTTTGAGAAGGTTCTGAGAAGGTTCTAAGTCCTTCAACAGGTGGGGCGGTGGAAGAACGTGTGGGGGCTGGCTAATCAGCAAGCTTCGACCCTGCTTCACTGATTATACAGAGGACTGTCTGGGTCACATCAGCAGCACCCAGAACTGGAGAGAAAGAGTACTGAACCGAACATCACAGCCCCGATAAGCTTGGGAGCGTGTGGGTTGCAGCACTCACAACTCCTTGAGAGGGGCCGTGGGCAGGATAGGAGCCACAAAGGAGTCGAGGCGCTGGTAGAAGAGGTTGGACGACAGGTAGCTGTGGGTGGGGGAAGTCATTGCGAAAACAAAAACCAGTGTGGGATGGGGGGATATTGGTTGAATACTCAAACGAGTGTGCGTGCTGTATGTGCAGGAAGGCATTTGGGTTGGGGTTGTGATACGGAGTACGGGTGAGATGAGTGCAGTGCGGGTTGCAAACAACATGTTATCTGCCCACACAGAGAAAATCCTGCCTGTCCAGTCACCTGTGCCACACCCCATTGAGCATACTTGAGACGCCAACCCCAAATATCTTTAGCTCAAACTACGAAACCTAAGGCCTAACCGTGCGGTGAGTGTGGTGAGTCTAGAAATGCCTGTGCCCACGGTGGCATTCCAACTGACTCAGAAGGTGAATGCTCGAGTCAAGTATAGAGTCACCCCGTGGCCTTACAGCGCAGTGAGTGTTGTGAGCTTGGAGATGTCGGCGTGCACGGTGCCTCGCAGCAGGAAACTCCGAAGATCCCTGCCCACCAGGCAGAGGGGGGCGCGCAGGGGAGACAACAGGGGAAGCGGGAGCAGCAGGGGCAGAGGGAGCAGCAGGGGCAGAAGGAGCAGCAAGGGAAGAGGGAGCAGCAGCGGAAGAGAGATTGGTGGGTCCAATTCAGGCATGAGGACAGGGGTTGGCTAGTGTAGGGGCTTCACACACAAGAGGCAAGAGGAATTAGTACAGCATTTTATTCTGGGGACCTGGGTTTGCGAGGAGAGGAGCACAGCACTCACAGGCCGACGACCATGCCGGCAGAAGAGCAGAACACGCCCGGCCAGGAGCCAGCGACGGGCGTCTGGCCTTGAATCGTGCACAGGCCCGCCTGCCCTGAAGGGGGAGCCACTAGCAGAACCCTCTTCCTGCCTGCTTCACTCTCTGCCAAGCGCCGCCGCTCCATCGCCTTGAGCCCGTTCCTGAATTCGCTGACAACGGTGTTGGCCTTGGGGGATAGTGCAAGGGTACTGGCAGACCACTCAGTGAAGGTGATCCCGAGAGCCGTCTTCACAGAGAGGAGAATGGCGGCCTGTGCTGCGTTCAAAGGCACACCAACACAGAAGCGCGGGAGAATGGGAGACGAGGTGGTGGGGGTGGTGGAGGAGGCAAGAGGGGCGGCAGTGTTGGGAGCACAGGTGCCGCCGGCACAGATGGGATCAGCCCCAGTGGGAGAGTCACAGACGGCGCAAGAAGCCAATGGGCGCTGCGTGGTGCCTGTGGTGTTGCATGCGCCTGTGCTGGCGAGGCAGTTGGAGGAGGCAGAGCAGGAGAGGAAGCCAGTGCCAGGGAATGTGCCGGACAGCCAGTTCTTCTGCACGTCGATGGTCTTGAGAGCCGTGCCGAACTTAGGCACGGGACCGTACAGGTAGTTGTAGCTCGCACCGCTGAAGAGGAGGCATGATAGGGGTGAGGATGGGGGGGAAGAGGGAGATAGTGAGTGTCAGAGTGGAAGAGAGTGAGTATAAGGCAAAGGCAATGGGGCAGCAGGAGTGAAGACAATGTGGCAGCATGAACGCATGCACGAGACGCAAAAGGCAACTCACAACGATGTGAGGGAGGTGATGCCGACAAGGGCAGAGGGGATGGACCCACAGAACCAGCTGAAGTCGAAGTAGCTGCAATGGGCGAGGCGATGGAGTTGAGATGAAACGAATTGAGAAAGTTGAGGACGGGAGGGGAGGGGAGAGGATTTGGTAGGAGGGGACAAGTGGGGAGAGGAAGGGAGAGGAGGGAGTATGGGGGGAAGCAGAGGGGGATGGAGATGGGAGAAAGAGAAGCGGATCTCGAGAGACTTCATAAAGAGGAATGATATGTTTTTGCATGCCATGGAATGTAGTCACAGTTGCGGCAGGCAACCTTACGCAGGACATACTTCATCAGCCTGCCTCCTCTCAGCTCAGGTGACTCCCTCTGTTCCACCTTGTGCACTCTGCGCTGCAAGCTTACAGCTAATAGGCTCTGCTCTACATGTTTACACCTTCTGCTCTGCACTCTGCTCTGCTCTGCACTTCTCTGCTCTGCTCTGCTCTGCTCTGCACTGCTCTGCTCTGCTCTGCTGCAGAGGAACACCACCGCCATGCCACTCACGCTTGCTTGAGCGAGGTGAGCGCCTTGAAGCTGGTGGTGAATGCATCCAGACGGCCCTGCAATAGGTTGCTGCTGAAATCACTGTAAGGGGTACATGGGAAGACAGGGAGGGGTTATTATATGTGGTGTACAGAGGAGTGAGTGAGTGAGGTGATGGGGCGTACGAGTCGGGCACGCAATAGCGTTTTGAGTTCAGGTAAGTAGATAAGCACACAAGAGGAGAATCAGAGACAGCAAGCTAAAGCCTTAAAAGGGAGAGAGACAATGAGAGAAACACGGGTCGATTTGAATTGAGTAGATAAGCAAGCAACTGCGGTGAGTCAAATGGTGCTATACAGGATACACTGAATGAATTTGATACATGGATGTGGAATGTGGTTCCGAAGAGAGGCTGTCAAAGTTGGGCAATACAAAATCAGACGAAGCAAAGCGAGGTTGGCGAGGTTGGTTGGGAGGCGCCTGAAGAGTAGACTTACACGGAGGTGAGCGTTGAGAGCTTGGAGATGTCAGAGTGCATCTTTCCTGCCAGCTTCTGCCCCGACAGCTTGCTGCTCATCCAACAACAGCCACACACAGCCAAACACGGCAAAAAATAGACAAACACTGTTAGTTTAAGGAAGGACTTGTGGTGCGGACAGGAACTTTAACAGAAGTGAACTTGTGGAATACCCAGATCGGTCCAGCAGCAGCAGCGGCATCGGCAAGTCAGCTTCGGTGTGAGGACCGGGTGACTCACAGGGAGACGGGTTTGAGGGCAGAGTTGCAGAGGACGTTGGACCACGCGCCTGGCGGTGCTGCCACTCCCTCCACGGCACACGGCGAGCTCACCGCCCAGCTGGTGAACGACACTCCCAGCGATGCCTTCACACTCAGTAGCGCCGCAGCTTAGAGGGGGAGGAGACGAGAAGAGGGGAAGGAGGAGTGAGGGACAGAGAGCTTCGGTGAGTCGTTTCGACTCTTATCAGGTGAACTGTGGTCTGATCTGATATGATGTGATAAGATATGAATTGAGATCGGTACAATAGTCGTATGGAATGGAGCAGGTACTCCTGCAAGGCTCCTCTTCCCCTTGTTCAACCACTTTCTCACATGTCCCCTTTTCACACACACACCCCTCATGCTTGCCTCACGGCTCACTGCTCGCTGCACTCACCCATGGCAGCATCCATGGGATCACCCGCGCAGTACATCTCAGCCGTCCCCGTATTCACAGTCTTTGCTGCGATCAGAGCCGTCGAACTGGGAGCACACGTGCCGCCATCACAGAGCACCCCGGTGCCGTTGGTGCTGCCGCAGATGGCACATGCTGCTGGTGCACGCTGCGTGCTGGCGCTGGTGCACTTGGTGCTGTCCTTGAAGCAGTTGCTGGCGCAGCTGCAGTAGGTGGTGGTGGTGGTGGGGAACGTTCCCACCAGGTAGTTCCCTGATGCGTCCAGGTACTTGAGGGACGCCGGCAGCGCTGCCGGCATGCTGCCCGTCAGGTAGTTGGCCTGGATCTTGCTGTCATGGGGAAGGGAGTGGGCGAAGGAAGGAGATCCACATGGTGATGATGTGAGCATATGACAAAAAGAGGGAGGAATACAAAGAAGTGAGAGATAGGAGTTAGAGGATATGCCGAAATAAAAGGGACTGGAAAGAAACGAGTCTCGATATGCAAGGAACATGGCAAGAGGCAAGGGGAGGGAGTTCACAGTTCAGAGAGGGCGGAGAAAGTAGTGAGTGATGGTGGCACGGCGCCCGACAGGTAGTTGTTGTGCACGTAGCTGGAAGGGGGGATGAGGGCAGCAATAGGGAGAGAGGGTGCTGAATCACACGGTATGCGGTATATGATATTGCGTGCCCCATATGGGCTGCCCTGCTTTGAATGATCCGTCTTGCATGTTTGTCATGGGGTGAAATGGGGAAGAGGTCAAAGCCAGGCAGGACAGGCAAGACCAACCAGGTGGGTGCAATGGTGATGATGCAGTGTGGTTGGGTTGGGGGTGCAGTGTGGTAGGGGTTGTGGGAGCGAGTGCAACTCACAGGACTTTGAGGGGCTTGACGGGAAGAAGAGGGGTGAGGAAGGAATACAGGCGGCCTGAGAAGAGGTTGTTGTTCAGCTCGCTGCAGCATGGCGCAGCCCACACACGTGCAGCATGGCACAGCCCACACACGTGCAGCATGGCACAGCCCACACACGTGCAGCATGGCACAGCCCACACACGTGCACCTCAGAGCGTGTGAGCATGAGACCGTATGTGACGACGTGGGCATGTGAGCATAGCACGGACAACGAGAGAATGTGAGCAGGTGAGTCCGGGAGAATGTAAGGTGGAGCGTATGTTCCCACTGTGAACGAAAGGTGAATAGTCACAACGCACAGTGAGGTAGCAATAGAGGATGCAGCTTACAGTGCGGTGAGAGAGGTGAGAGTTGACACCGAGGAGTTGACGGATCCTGGCAGCAGAAGATTTCCCAGCTTGCTGCATGTGTGTGGCACAAGGTGGTGAATTGCAGAGGAGTTAACAACAAGGGTGTGTGATGACGGTGACGATATGGTGAGTATGTGACATGATGCCATATTATGCCATGCCAACCACCCACGGTGCACATTGGTTCACCACCAAGGGAGAATGATAAGGATGGCACGATGATGTTGTAGCATGCTTCCATGCGAGCATTAGTAGATGCAGGCTCATATAACATGATGCGATGCTCCATGCCTGTGCCCAATCACACACATCACATAACGAGAAAAAAGGGACCCCAAGCACCCCCCCTGCACTCACAGGCTCAGGACCTTGCCGGTGGCGTCACACACAACGCTCGACCACGAGCCCGGCACCACGGCCTGCCCTGCCAGTGCACACGGCGCATCCACATTCCAATCCGTGAACGTGACACCCAGCGATGCCTTCACACTCAGCAGCGCCAACCCCATGGCCGCATCCATGGGCACTCCCAGGCAGCTCAGTGGCAGCAGCGGCTGGCCGTCCGTGTTGGGGGTGGAGGAGGCAGCAGGGGCGGAGGCATCAGGGGCGCACAGCCCTCCCCCACACAGAACGCCAGAAGCATCGGTGGACCCACACACGCTGCACTCTGAGGATAACCGTTGCGCCGTGCCGGCAGCGTTGGCGCACTTGCTGGCGCTGGAGAGGCAGTTGGAGCGGGCATCGCAGGCGGTGAGGGTGGCGATGGGGAAGGCGCCCGAGAGCAGGTTGCTGGCCACGTTGAGGGCCTTGAGGGACGTCTTGAACGCCGGCACTGTGCCCGTCAGATAGTTGCGGTTCAGCTTGCTGTGTGTGTGTGCCGATGTGGGTGGGGGGGTAGGGGCAGGAGAAAGAAGGGAGGGGGAGGGGAAAGTGGAAGGAGCATGAGGAAAGGCAAGAAAGGCGGGGTTGAGGGTCTGAAAGAGGGGCATGCAGAAGGCAGTTGTGGTTTAGCTTGTTGCAACAAAAGGTGTTGGCAGGGAATGGGTAGTGGGGGGTGGAGGAGGAAGAGGGGCCAGTGCGGACTAACATAAATTGTTTCAGAAACTGAGTGTCGAGAGGGGGGCAAGTGTAGGAGAGGGGGTTTGTGTGCGGGAGCATGGAGTGTGTACAAGATGGTGGCGGAAAATAATGCTTCACGCGCTTTTTATATCGCGCACACAAGAATGGAGAGGGGATCACTCACAGGGTGGAGAGAGCAGGCAGGGCGACGAGGGAGGAGGGGATGGAGCTGGAAAACCAGTTGTACTGCAGGTGACTGTGGGTGGAAAGTGATGTGACGTGAGGGGCATTTGAGGAGAGGAGTGGGGACGGTTGATGAGAAGCGGATTCATATAGCAACACAGATCAGCGTTCAGTGACTCGATGCACACAGCACAGCAGAGCATACAATACCATGTCAATGCGCACAGCGCACCACATTGCGCATGTGTGTGTGGGTGTGTGGGTGTGTGGGTGTGGGGGTGTGTGAGGGTGTGTGTGGGGGGGGTGGGTGGGGGGTGGGGGGGTGTGTGTGTGTTCGTGTGTGTGTGCGTGTGCGTATGTGTGAATGTTTGTGTGTGTGTATGTGTTCATGTATGTTCGCTCGCGTGAGTGTGTGTGTGGATGTGGGTGTGTAGGTGTATGTGTGGGGGGGTTAGGATGGGGGGTGGTGTGGGTGTGTGTGTGTGTGCATGTGCGTATGTGTGAATGTGTTTATGTGTTTTTATGAGTGTGTGTGTGTGCATGTGCGCGTGCGTGCGTGCGTGCGTGTGTATGTGGTGTGGTTGATAGTCTACTTTATAGAGCATTCAGCAGATAAGGACTTTATAGTCTACTTCACGGTGGTGAAGCGTACATATTCTTGAGTGCCTTGAGGGCAGAGACGAGTGAGAGAAAGACATCCAGGCGGCGCTGGAAGAGATTGGAGCTCAGGTCGCTGCACACATGCATGCAGACATGCATGCACACATATGCATGCACACACATGCACACACGAGCAGAAGGTATTTAGAATGGAAACACTGAAGCAAGAGAGAGAGAAGACGGGCCAGTTAGCTGGGTTTGACCAACAAGTAGCAGGACAGAGCAAATACTATGGCAGGGTCCACAACAAAGGGAATTGGGAGGGCGTACAGCATGGTGAGGGCTGTGAGCTTGGTGATGTCCGTTGAGAGGCTTCCACTCAGCTTCTTGTTTGGCAGCACACTGCACAGTGAAGCAGAAAAGCAGGAGAACGGAGCGAAAGAGCGAGAAACGGCAGGATACAACTCAATCCATCCATGTTACACAACACAATCAAGCTCCAGTGGCAACAAATGAGGAACTTTCCACAGGCCCACAGCAGCACGGCAAAGCACGGCAGCATGGCAAAACACAGCAGCATGGCAGCACTCACATGCCCACAACAGCCCCCTTGGAGCTATAGTAGACGCCGGTCCATACGCCTGGCCCAGGAGTCTGCCCCTCCAACGTGCACGTGCCCAGAGACCCTGCCCAGTCTGTGAGCGTCACCCCCAGTGCAGCTTTGATGGCCAGCATCGTTTGGGCTGGCAAGGGGCGCATGGGAGGTGGGTGAAGGAGGAGAGCGGAGAGAGCAGGTGGGTAGAAGAGGGGGGGGGGAGGGGGGAGGGGCGGAGAGGGAGGGATGATTTAGAGGGGAGGGGGGAAGGGGGGTGTGGGGAGAGGGTGGGGTGTGGGTTTGACAGATAGGGAGAGAGAAGGTGGTGATGTAGGCAGCTGTAGCAGCAGGCATCACATCTGTTCCACCGAGTTCTTGAGTAATGGTTACAGTACCTGTATCACATCCTAAAACCCAGCCCCTCAGGTATCCCTTACGTGGCATGGAGTTTGAAAAACGCCCCCCAGCTCTTTATAAAACGTTTTGGGCGAAACTTAGCTAAAATTATTTGCCTCTGCACTGACCTGTTTCTGTATCTCATCACTCTTTCAAAGCAAGGGAGCATGTGGGAGAGTGATGAGATACAGAGGTGGTTGGGTTTGGTTGCGTATGTTTTGTTTTGTGTGTGTCTTTGACTTAATCTTAGCTTAGCACATCCTGGCAATGCACTTACCTTGTATGCACTTACCGTTTGAGATAACAGAGGTGGACATAAGAAGTACAAGAGCACACTCACTTGTTACCAAGTCCATTGGAACAGCCTCGCAGAAGAAAGTGAGAGTAGCGGAAAGCGCAGTGGGGGGAGTGGTCACCCCAGCCCCAGCAGCAGCAACCCGGCAGCTGGTGGCAGCAGCACACAGAGCGCCCTGGCCGTTGGTGGAGTCACAGACGGCACATTCAGCGGCGCTGCGCTGTGGCAGTCCCAGTGATGCACACTTGGACGCGTCCACCAGGCAGTTGCCCGTGCTGGCGCAGTAAGGGATGGTGTTGGCCGGCACGGAACCCGCCAGGAAGTTGCTTTGCACGTCCAGAGAGGCGAGCGTGGTCGGGAGTGCGGTGGGGAGTGATCCGGTGAGGTAGTTGAAGGCCACGGAGCTGATGGCGTGGTGGAGGAGGGGAGGAGAAGAGAAGGGTTGTTACATGAGAGCAAAGCTACTGAGGGGATTCAAGGCAGCAAAGCTGGTGTCGTGGTGTAGAAGGCTATGCAGTAGACGAGCAGGCAGGCAGCATGTGAGAGAGTGAGAGGCGGGTGATGAGCTATGTGGGTGGATGTGCGACAATGCTAGGCCTATGCTAGGCCTATGCTAGGCCTATGCAGTGCTGTAAACTGCAAGTCGGGATCATAATAAACTGTGGCAGTCTAATCGTTGGTTTGCTTTGACCAGGAGGTCAGGAAGCTACGAACAGCGGGAGAGGTCAATCGACTTCTCGAGGGCGTTGGTCAAAACGAAACTCCCCCAGGTTGGTCAAGGACCCTGCTTCATCATATTAGCATCATCTCATGGTGATCAAGCTATGCTATGGTCACTCACAGTGTTGAGAGGGTCTTGAGGGCGAGGAGGGCAGAGGGGAAGACGCCAAAGAGGTAGTTTTACTGCAGGTAGCTGCATGGGTGCATGCAGGATGGGGGCGATGGAGAAGGGAGGGCGAAGGAGGAAACCGCCAAAACCAATGAGTCGAATCAACTGATAAATTACAAAAAACCAAACGAAAAAAAACAAAAACAAAAACATACACACACACACATACACACACACACACACACACACACACAACCACATTAACAACAACATCAACATGTTCTTGTTTGCTATTTCCTCATGCCTAGGTGGGAGGATGAAAGAATGCGTGGATGAGTGGAAGGGAGGACGGAAGGATGGCTGGGTGGGGGGAGCCAGGCACTGACAGCTCCTTGAGCACAAGAGGCGCCTTGATGTTGGCAGTGAAGGCGTCCATCTTGCCTTCCAGTCGGTTGGACTGCAGGTCACTGCCGTGCCAGCAGGGGGGGCGGTTCAGGGGGGGAATGGACCAGGGGGCAGAGGTGCAGAAAAGAGTCAGAAACCCCACGAGGGGCAACCACGAGATGTTGCTTGGCAGAAACAGGATGAATTACCAGAATGCACGAGCCATGGATGACAAATAGCGGGTGCATGTGCGGTGCTGTGCTGTGCATGTGCGGTGCTGTTCTGTGCTGCGCTGAGCCCGAACCCTGAAGCAGGGGTACGCTGCACGGTGGGGAGGAGACTCATTGACACGCATTACTACTCACAGCACGGTGAGGGTGGTGAGCATGTGTACTCACAGCACGGTGAGGGTGGTGAGCATGTGTACTCACAGCACGGTGAGGGTGGTGAGCATGTGTACTCACAGCACGGTGAGGGTGGTGAGCATGTGTACTCACAGCACGGTGAGGGTGGTGAGCATGTGTACTCACAGCACGGTGAGGGTGGTGAGCATGTGTACTCACAGCACGGTGAGGGTGGTGAGCTTGGAGATCTCCGAGTGGATGCTCCCTGTGAGGCCCAGCCCCTTGAGCGACCTGTGTGTCGTGATTCATTGCCGTGCACATAGTGTGGGAAGGGCAGAAAACGTGAAAGACACAAGAAAAGGTAACAATGAGCAATATACCCAATGAGGACGGTGCAAGCCAACCAATGGCTGAACGGTTGCTACTGGGAGTGAGGTAGGGAGGAGGAGGCACTGCATCACCTTCCTGGCAGTCTCAGTGGTACAACCACGCACACAGCAGGCACAGGAGCAAGCAAAGCACTCACACTCGGAGAACTTTCCCAGAATCGTCACACGCAACGCCATTCCATGTGTTGGGAGCCGGGGAGGGCGAGCCCATGAGGGTGCAGAGGGCATCGACCCGCCAGTCTGGAAACGACACTCCCAGCGCCACCTTCACATTCATCAGCGCAGTGGCTTGAGTCGCATCCATGGGCACACTTGCAGCAGCGGTGCAGACCAGAGGGAGCACGGGCGATGAGGCACTGTTGGGTGTGGCTGTTGGGAGTAGGAGCGAGGCAGGAGGAGTGACGCTGCAGATCCCATAGCTTGCCCTGAGCATTTGTAGTGTTGCATATAACGCAAGCAGCTGCGGCACGCGGGATCTCAGAGGGCCTTGTGGGGTGCTTGCAGTTGGCGGTGGAAGCAAAGCAGTTGATGCGGGCGGAGCAGAAGGCGAGGCCGAGGGCGGGGAAGGAGCCGGCAAGGAAGTTGAACTGCACGTCCAGAGCCTTGAGAGGCGCCGCTATGCTGCCAGGCAGCGAGCCCGTCAGGTAGTTGAAGCCCAGCGCGCTGGTGGGAGGAGGTGAGGGGAGGGGTAATCGAGGATTTTCAAGGTTAAGAGGTGTGAGGTTGCTGCAACCTTGGTGAAAGAAAATATGGCACCAAAAAGAAGATACGGAAACTCACAGATTGGAGAGATTGGGAAGAGCGAGCAGGTATCCAGGGACAGTGTGAGAGAACCAGTTGAACGAGAGGTTGCTGAAGCCCGGGGGGAAGGTTGGGTAGAGGGAGCGGTTGGACCAGATAGAAGATACAGGTGAACGAGAATGGATAGAGGGCAATTCAACATCAAGGCGCATGAACGCCAGTAGAACTCAGGACGTGCAGTGCTGTTTGGAAACTAGTGCTGCCGTTCAGGGCAGGGCGGGGCAGCATGCCTTAGCAAGTGCAAGATACAAACAACCTCTGTATCTGGTGGCACAGATGCTGGTAGAAATCTGGTGAGATCACAGGTGCTTGCAGCACAGGAACAGAGAGAAACACACATGGACTGGAGGGTAGTGAGAAGGCGAAGGTGTGTGGCGACCTCGTCCAGGCGGCCCTGAAAGAGATTGCCGCTCAGATCGCTGGCAGCGAGGGGAGAGGATGGGATAAGATGGAGAGGTAAAAATGGGCGTAAGGGGGGGGGAAGGGGAGGGATAGGAGACGGGTAGTAAAGCATGGAGAATCAGGGCTGTGGAAAAAGGGGAGACGCAAGACAGATGGATGCAGATCTTGCTAACATAAGTGGACAACTGAGATTGTTCTGGGAATGTCATGCTTTAGGGGACGGCATAGCTTACGAGCAAGGCAGGCTTACAGAGAAGTGAGAGCAGTGAGAGCAGTGAGCTTGGTGACTTCAAGAGGGAGTGTGCCTGCGAGGTTGAGACGCCCCAGTTGCCTGGGAGGAAGAAAGTGGATAAGGAAGACTTGTGGTGGCCGCTGGTTCAGGTGGTGAGGAAAACTGGCAACAGCAGTAGGTGAGAGAGCAGCAGTAACAGCATGAGCTCAGCACAGCAAGGGAATGATCCATAATTGTTAAATAATCAGCAGCAGCCGCAAACAGCAGTAGCATCAGTGAGGACTCACAGCAGAGGTGGTGAGGACTCACAAGGTGCGAACTCTGCCAGAAAGGTCACAGGACACAGAAGTGAGGGTGCCTTCAATGGCCGGCCCGACAGAAGCCGTGGTGCACGGCTTGTCAAGCCCCCACGTTGTGAACGTCAACCCCAGTGCGGCCTTCACTGCCAGCAGCGCTTGGGCTGTGAGAGTTGGGGTGAGAGGCGTGAGGGGCAAAGAGCGTTGAGGAGAGAGAGAAGGTGTGGCAGGGATGAGAGAAAAAAGGTTGAGAGACAGAGATTGTGGGAGAGAGGATGAGCAGAGACGAGAGTGACGTAGTGAGGATGGTGGACGAAGTGATGGTGAAGTTACTGCACTGAGCTTCGATAAGTACAATCAACAACGTCCGTCAACGAGAAACTAACTTGTCACAGCACAAGGTGATAGCATCCATGTTACATCGCATGTGCCTCTCAGACCCTCTCACCATCGGTGGCATGGATTTTGACCACCGGCACATCTGCAGTGGGCAGTGGCAGGGATAAAGGCAAGCAAGATGGGAGGAATGAGGGCAGTGAGGGAAGGGATAGAAGAGATGGATGCATAGAGCCGTTAAATATCGAGTTGCAGGGAAGGTATACCAAGTTTTATGATGCACGCACTGCCATGAACCACTACTGGAATATGCCATGACCCACCACGACATGACACAACACACCACCACCATGTGACAGTGACTCACCAGCACAGTACATGTCAGGGTCCAAGCCATCCTCATGCACGGTGCTGCCATCCACATTCGGCAGGCACAGCCCTCCGAATCACAGCAAGCCCTGCCCGTCCTCTGACTCGCAGATTGCACACGCATCGGCATCCCTCTGAGATACAGCGCTATCCTCGCTGCACGCCATCGCACTCGCCAGGCAGTTGCTGCTTGCGTCACAGCTCGTCAGCGAAGCTGCAGGGAAGGTTCCGGCGAGGAAGTTTTCTTGGAGGGCGAGGGAGAGGAGAGAGGTGGGCAGGGCTGGCACCGTCCCGGTCAGTGCGTTTGCATGGAGGTCCCTGGAGGTAGGTGGTTCGGGTGGTTCAGGTATGTTGACGAAATCACAGGGGATCGAAGATACACAGAGATATGGACTATTGGGGTTAGGTGTGCCCAGAAAAATGGTGGCATTTCATATATGACCCCAGGCCCATGCGCTGTGAGTGAGGTTAGGTCCAAAGCAATGCCCACATGAATGCCCAAAACATTGCCCACATGAATGCCCACTGCCCAGGGTGGGTACGTAGGATTATGGAACAATGCCACATCATAACATGCAGTCCTTTGAGCGGAGCAGGTTAGGTTATATGTCATCGGGCATGGGGCGGTGAGTGCATTGGGTGGGTGGAATGGAAAGGGTGGGTACACTTACAGGCGGGTGAGGGCGGGCAGGGAGACGAGGGCAGATGGAATAGAGCCCGCGAACCAGTTGTTGTTCAGCTGGCTGCAAGGCAGAGACGAGGAGTGAAGAAAGGGCATAGAAGGATGCATGGGAGAGGAAGGACGTGAGGGAGAGAAAGGAGTTAAGGGAGAGGAAGAAGGCAAGGGAGAGGAAGGAAGAGATAAGAGAGAGGATGGATTCCAGCCTGTAAAGCATACTGGCTAGCTGAATATCTCAATCATCTAAGGGCTGGGCAAGCTGGAAATGTGTTGTCTCGAAAAGGTGGCGTGATCAGTGGCGTTTCATGTGAAGTCAGGTGAAGGCATGGGCCCATGAACAAAGCAACAGCAGCACGGTGTTGTGTCACTCACACAGCACAGGCGTCATTCTCAGCACGGGTGGCACTCACAGGCGCTTGAGGGCCTGGAGTTTGGAGAAGCCAGAAGTGAATGAGGCGAGGTTCTGTTGAAAGAGGTTGCTCGACAGGTCCCTAAGGCATTGGGGGGAGGAGGCCGAGGGGGGCGGTGGGATGGAGGAGGGATGGATGCAAAACGCTCAGGTGAGGGAGGAATGGGTTGTTAGTGAGATACTTAGGTTCGATGAGGAAAATCCATGGGAGATGCCACACGTGGATGGGATGGAGTGTTGCATTGAAATGGGATGATATGGGGCTTGCAAGGGCGGACTGTGGAAGCAACAAAAGGAGGGAGGGTAGCAAAGCAAGGAACACTCATTCACACCACATGGTTACGTGCATGGCATGACATGGCATGGGATGGCATATATGAAAGAGGTCTTCAGGCCTACCCAAGAGAGCGGAAGAGCGAGACGGGGAGAGGGAGGAAGAGTTATGGACACAGGTGGACGGAGAGGGCGCCTAGACCACTCGAGAGGGTAAATGAAAGGGAGCGGAACGATGGAGGACGGGAAGGAACAAATTGTTGGGAGAGTAGGGAAAGGAGGAGAGGGGTACTGACAGGGATGTGAGGGTGGTGAGCTTGGAGATGTCGGCATGGAAGGTGCCCTTGAGGGCCATGGAAGACACGTTCCTGCATGCAGGCAAGAGGAGTGAGAGGGCGACAACCAGTGGGGTGGGGAAGGGGAAGGGGTAGCGGGGAGGTGGGGGGTGCGGGGGAGTTGTGCATAAGGGAAGGATGCATGGATGGGGCCCATTTTATTATGTGAAAGCAAGGTGGGACAGTGAAGATGAGAGACTGCCGTTTGGCTTCTGTATTCCAACCTCCAAGGCACTTGCTGGCAGACAACGGAATTCTCTGAAATATATCTGCTGATTTCATTGACGTTTAACAAAGGGTCGTGCAGGGCACAGAAGTGCAGGACGCTGCCAGCCACAAAGAGACTGCAGCTATACAGTATCTCGCTTGCACTTGGCATATTTGCAATTCCATTTCGCAAGTGAGCAGCACTGTTAGCAGCACCAAACCCCACTCGTGGTTGCGCGCAGCACTCACAGGCTCGTGACAAGACCAGCAGTGGAGCAGCCCATGCCATTCCAGGTGTTTGCAAGGCTGATGGCGCCACCTCCGATGGTGCAGGAAGAGGCGGCGACCCAGGAGGAGTCGGTGACACCCAGAGATGACTTGACCTTCAATACAGACGACACTGGGATAAAAAGGGAAGGGGGGACATGGTGGTGAGGAGGAGGAGGAGGTTTTGAATGGAGAGGGAGAAGGAGACGGAGATGTGCATAGAGGCTGATACAATTGGGAGTTAATGTAGAAAGGGAAGGATGGAGGGGGGGGGAGAATGTTGATTTGGGCGAAGGCTCACCTAACGCAGTATTCATTGAGACCACAGGCGAATCTGTACAGCCACACAGGTTCACAATCCGAAGGAAACACAGACGCAGAGGTGGACAAAGGCAGAGATAGATGTAAGAGGTGAAGGAATATAGCAGTCCAGAAAAAGAACTACCAAGGCAATAATAAGCAGACAGCCCGTGCACCAAGTGCAACAGCTTTCTATCGCGTTCATCCAGTAGTGAATTCAGACGAGAGCAGAGAAGACCACAGCAGAGCATTGCATTGCGTGGTCCTTGCCTACCGGCGACTTTGACATGCCTCTGAGCAAATCACCTTTTCCGACATTGCCAAAGCCACACACACCCCTGTGCCCACTGAAGCGCCGCAGACTAGGATGGAGTAAAGATGTCCAGCCAGAACAGGTCCTCACCCACGCCTCTCCACCCGCAACGAGCAAAAGAACAGGCCTCTCCACCCGAGTGTGCCGGGCCTCTCTACAGGTTTTCTATTTGACTTGAAGCATGTCAACGGGAGTTGTGTGTTGGCCTCGTCCTCGCTTGGGCGGAGCCGACTTCGTGGTCGGGTGTGAGGGGAGCAGCCGACCTGCAGCAGTGGGCAAGCTGGTTGACGAGGAGGTCGACCTGCACGGGAGCCACTGCACGAGCGCCGACTTCAGGGTGGTGCCGACTTCAGGGAGGTCGACCTGGGAAGTCGATCTGCGGAGGGCGTCGACTTGGTGACGCCAACTTGGGGCAGCCGACTTGGGTGGTCGGTTGACAGGACTCCTCGTCGACCTGGTGGTTGGTCGACCAGGTGTGATGTCGACCTGGTGGTCGATCTGACCTGGTGGTCGACGAAGGAGGGGCCGATGTCGACCTCAACTCAGGACGCCGAGCAACTGGGCGTCGAGTAGCAGGGCGTCAACTTGGTGACGCCGACTCCGGGTAGCCGACTTGGGTGGTCGGCTGACAGCAGCGCTGGTTGACATGGAGCTGGTCGACCAGGAGTGCTGGTCGACGTGGAGCTGGTCGACCAGGAGGGACGTCGACTTGGAGCTGGTCGACCAAGGGTGTGGTCGACCTGGTGAGGTCGACTTGGGGTGGTCGTCGACTTGGGAGGTCGACGGGCACATGCAGGAGCAGCTGGTCGACGTGGTTGCCCAGTCGACCAGGTTACCTGGGTGACGAGGTTCTGCGGAGGAGTGCGACGGTCGCCCAGGCGAAGTTGGCGAGTCCGACCTCGGTGGTGGTATCCCGAGGTCGACGTGGCTGCTCAGATGCAATCGTCAGCGCCAGGTTGACTTGGTGTGTGCGCTGTGCAGGTGACAAGGCTCAGCATGCCAATCATCTGCAAGCACCTGCGAAGCTGGTGCAATGCTGTTCTGCGGGAGCAACGCTGGCACGCCGTCAACCTGCAGTGTTGGCACGCCGTCGACTTTGCACTGCTGGAGCGCGGTCGACCAAGTCGTGCTGGAACGCGGTCGACCATGCGGTGCTGGCAGTCGACCGACCTGAATGCTAGCTCTGATGTAGTCTTGCAATGCCAACTTCATTGTACCATTGTTGTCAACTTTCTCTAGTGAAACTCTTGCCAACTTGCCCCGTGAACTAGCAAGCAGTGTATGCACTAGGAAAACGACTAAGGACCAACGAATGCAGAGATCACACGAGCACCCGTGCCTAGCCCGTAGTCTAGCTCCCGTTGTATTAGTTATCTCCGCAAAGCATAACAAGTATACGCTGGTGGCCTGGAATCAGCATGGCTCTTAGCAGTAAACTTCAACTGTATTGGGACACGAAAGAAGGTGTGAAGGGGGAAGGTCACGTTTCGGAATGACCATCATAACATGGCATGCCACACCACACTCACCGAGACACTTCATGGGGACCATGGGCAGAGTGGGGGAGTTTACAGTCCCTGCACTGACTGCATCAGCACTGTCAGGGCCGCACAGCCCACCATAGCAGAGCTCCCCCTGGCCGTCAGCAGATCCGCAGATGGCACAGGCGGAGGCGGGGCGCTGCAGCAGACCGGAGGAGCGGCAGTAGGAGGAGGAGAGGAAGCAGTTGTGGTCGGCTGAACAACTCTTGATGGAGACTTGGGGGAAGGAGCCCGAGAGGTAGTTAAAGCCCACGTCCAGAGCGACCAAGGAGGTGGAGGGGATGGGCATGGTGCCCGTGAGGTAGTTGGAGAAGAGGCCTCTGGGGGAGCGAACGAACACAGGCACAACATGGGAAGGGGAAAGAGCAAGAACACAGGCACGAGATTGAGATGTGTGGCGCTAGAATGAGGGAAAGGTGAGGTGCGAGCGAGATGAGAGCGAGCAAGGAGGAAAGCGCAGGAATGAGCAAGGTTCAGTGGGCCAGCAACGAGGCTCCTTATTCATCTGCGGATATTTGAAGCTGTATGTGCCTGCTGCTTACAGCGTGGTGAGATTCTGCAGGGAGGCAATAAAGGAGGGAATGGATCCCGCAAACCAGTTGTAGTGGAGGAAGCTGGGGGTAGGAGGAAGAAGACGAAAAAATAAGATGGATAAAGGGACATGAAAAGATGGTTTGTTAGGAAACGACTAAAAGAAGGTCAAATGTTATTCCTATTATTTTAATAACAGGGAACGCTGCAGTACAATCAAAAGGCACTGCATTTATGTACACGAGTGACGAGATTTGGTATTTTGTTTGATACTCACAGCTCCTTGAGGCTGGGCACGGTCTTAAGTGGCGTGGAGAACGAGGCAAGGCGGCCTTGGAAGAGGTTGTAGCCAAAGTCACTGGGGCAGGGGGCGAGGTTAGAGTCAGGATTTGCACAAAATCGAGATGGTTGATCTGTGTGTGCTGCATTTCAAAATCCACAGAAATATTGTGTTGAATTGTCCAGATACTTGGCAGGGTAGCAGAGAAGTTACCATCAATCCTAGACAGGGCACTACCTTTGCAATAAAAGCTGGCTCTGGCTTACCTGCAGCACTTCCCATTCGAGCCTTACAGGTAAGTGAGTGCGGTGAGCTTGGAGATGTCCGCATGAATAGACCCCTTCAGACCCTGGCGTGCCAACAAGCTGAGGGGAGTGATGGGAGAGGCACAGAGGTGGGAAGCGGTAGAGGCAGAGAGATAAGTATCAAGGGCTGGAGGGGTTTGTGGTTCATTCAAGAATATTGAAGATAAGTGTTCTAGCTAACTTGTAACAACCCTCTCACATAGAAGTCGTTGGGACAGCCCACTGACATACAAAGTGCTGTAATAGCCCACTCACATAAAAGGCGTTGTAACAGGCCACTCGCATAGAATGGTAAGGGATGTTGCATGTAAAAGCATTTGAAGTTTGTCAACTGAAGCCAAGATTCAGCATGCACAGTTGAAGCGTGAGTACTCACATGGAGACGACCCCTCCGGCATCATTACAGAGCACGCTAGACCACGTGGGCAGTGTAGACTGCTTGCCAACCATTTGGCACGCCACAGTTGCTGCCCACGTGGTGAACGTCACTCCCAGCGATGACTTGAGGGCCAGCAGTGCTGGCCAAGGGAGAGGGTTGGGGAGAGACGGGGAGAGGTGTGAGATCTATGGGCTTGGGAAAAATATGGGAAAGGGGAGAATTTGGCGAAAACCGGGAAGTAGTAAGAGAGTCGCAGAGAGAAGGGCATTGGAACTACGGATGGCCAAAAACCAAACTCAAACATGTCTGACTCGAACTGCATCAATCCCCCCACCCATACCCTTGGTCGAACCGAACCTGTTCGGTCAAGTTGGTTGAAATGCGTGCATGGAAAATTCTTATGGTTGAATCGAACCTACAATACCCCTGTTCGAGTTCATTTCGACCAGCATCAATTCGCTATGATCATGCTTCATTACGGGTCTTCTTTTCCACGTTTCTTTCGAACAGAACTAGTTGGAGGCTTGAAGGGATTTAGGGAAATGTACATTAAAGCTACACAACTCCCAACTACTCTGGTTTTCAACAAATTCCGTGCACCAATACCCTGGCAACCCGAGTCACCCGGGTTGAAGGTTTCAACCATTGAAAGTTTCAAGCGATCTTTTATTTGGCATCAATATTGTTCCATTTGACGTGGCTTGACTCAAGAAGTCGAACCAAAGCAAATTGCTTGATTGAAAAAAGAAGTGCTTAACAAAAGCAGAGGTTTGGTTCGAGAGGTGCTAGATGCAATCAGGTTTGGCCCAAACCAAACCACACCAAACCACAATATGGAATTTTGCCCGCGCCTAGCTGGGATTGCACATTCAATCAGATGCCGAAACCTACGCAGGACTTATGGATGGATGGTGCATGGTGTTAGAGACTAAGGACGGAGTCTATGAAGATTAGGTGCCTAAATTTCTCAAAATCGTTGGTCCCTATTTCTGGACAGAATAGTTGCGCTCACAAGAAACGCCGTCGACGAAAAGTGCACAGTCTAAACTTCACAAAACTCATATATGTTGTAGCCCTACTCCGTGGCTACAATTCCCAAGTTGAAACGTATCAAGAGGTGAAGTAAATCTCGACTTATCAATTTCGGCGCACAGGGGGGTATGCTGCCATAAGAACTTAACTCAATCACAAAGTTCACACAAGTTCACACAAGAGAATTAGAGTAGCACTAAACCAGGTGGAAGGGATAAGGAGGACGAGAGGGAAGGTCCCAAGAGAGTCCCCAACCAAGGAAACCCCATGCCATACAATTCCCTTCCCCATAGGCAACCCAACTTTGACCTTTGTCACTATCCCAACCTCCACAATCCACCTCAACCCAACTTGGCCACACTTGCCAACCTGGTTTGGTTTCTCCCAACCATTTGGCAGCAACTACAGTAGAAAAGACGAATTTCCCAACCCCCAAAAGTCTGTACCCCATATTGAGTCAACCCCACAACTTCCCATAGTCACCACAACCAAATATCAAAAGCATACGAACTCCAACGTTCGTAACTTTCTAGTTCGTGCTCCGATTGAGGCGATACTTGGTTCCTCGGAAAGCTCTTGAGCAGAGGAATCACTTCAGATATCTGCTCAAGCCAAATAACATTCACACACATACTCAGAAAAACCAAACCGCACAAAACACAAATTCTTGCACACACTCACAACACGCATGCAACGCACGAACATATGATGGGAGGCAGACAGACGTGAATGCGAATGGTAGCATCACTCAACAAACTCCCCCTCTGGCTGCCAACCATCATCCCACATGCCATAGCTCAAGCATGCATCCTCAATGCACACTCATCCCAGCAAGCTTCATGCCCTTCCAATGCTCAGATTCAGCCAGGCGCTTGGTGAGAATGTCAGCCGCCTGCTGATGGGTCTTCACAATCTCCAGCCGCACCTCCTTGTCCAGGAGCCTCCTCACCCAGTGCCACTTAGGCCTGATGTGTTTGGTCAGCCCATGAAGACAAGCATTCTTCACTAGCTTCACCGCCGACTCATTGTCACAGAAAATCACAGTCGGCTCCCTCTGACCAACTCCAATCTCCTCCAACAAACGCCTCAGCCACACCACCTCCTTTGCCCCATGATGCAGGGCCATGTACTCTGTCTCACACGAGGACTGCCCCACCTCATTCTGCTTCTTACTGCGCCAGCTCACTGCACCACCTCCGAACAGGCACACATAGCCTCCAATGCTGGTGCCATCCGCTTTCACCGAGTTGAAGCTAGCGTCAGTGTAGCAGGTCAGGAGCATCTCCCCCTTGCTCAAATCAGCTGCACTCCTCTGCAGCCTCTGCCTCACAGCACTGTACTCCAAACCCACTGATGCCGTTGCACTCACATAGCGGACCAACCTCTTGGCCGCTTCCAGCTGCTCATGACTGGGGCGTGAAACCACACTGGCAAGCCTGGATGTTGCAAAGGCAATGTCAGGCCGTGTGTGGTTAGCCGCATAGTTGAGTGCCCCAACCATGGAATGAAAAAGTTTCCTGTCACTCTCACCCACCACCTCCTCATCAGCACAGGGCTCTACAGTGAACCCCGAAGGCAGTGGGGTGGCTGGCTTTCCTCCATCTTGCAGCCCATACTTCTCAGCCAGCCCCTCACAATACTTTCTCTGGTGCAACCTCAACACTCCCTTGTCAAGGTCCCTCTCCACATGCATCCCTAAATAGTACTTCACATCTCCCATCTTGGAGCACTTAAACTGCATCTCCAGCATCTCCTCCACATGCTCAATCATTGCAGACGACTCAGAGAAGAGCAGGATGTCATCCACATACACCAGGAGCATGAGAAACTGCTCCTTCTCCTGCAGCAGGAACAAGCTGTGATCACACTCACTCTTCTTGAAACCCCCAGCCAGCAGAGTCTCCTCTAACTTGTGGTACCATGCACGAGGAGCCTGCTTCAGGCCATAGATGGCCTTCTTCAGCCTGCACACCCTGCCGCTCCCATCATCCAAACCCTCAGGCTGTAACATGTACAGCTCCTCCAGAATGATCCCATTGAGGAAGGCGGTGGTGATGTCCATCTGCTTCACCCGCCATCCACGGTATGCTGCCATTGCCAATGACACCCGAAGTGTTGTGCCTTTCCCCACAGGAGCATAGAGCTCGTTGAAGTCCTTTCCCTTTGTCTGCTGAAACCCCTTAGCCACAAGCCTTGACTTGTAGCGGGTCAGCGCCCCATCGGGTCCGTACTTGTGCCTGAAAATCAGCTTGGAAGAAATGGCCTTCTTCCCAGGTGGCAGCTCACACAGCTCCCACGTCTCATTCTCTAGCAGAGAATCATACTCCTCCTTCACACTCTGCTTCCACTTTTCAGCATCGGGCCCGCTCAATGCCTCAGCTAGCGTCTTGGGCTCAGGGACGGCTGCCCAGTAGCAGTGTGCTATCTCATCCTCATCACACTGCTCAGCCACACTCCCAGCCCTTACCACCTTTGGCTTGCCACGGCTTGCATAGGTCAGCCTGTTAGGAGGGCGCACATCCCTCCTAGGACGGTCAGCCGTACGTCCGGCACCTTGTGGAGCACCTTGCTCCTCCTGCTGCTGCGGCTGCTGCTGCTGTTGCTGCTGCTGCTGCTCCTCCACCTCAGGTTCTCCCCCATCCTCTGTCACCCCAGAGATCTCATTCTCAGAGACAGAAACCTCCACTTGCCTTGAAGGCCGCTGCACCTCATCGGCCTCGACAATTAGCGGTGTCGTTGGAAGCTTCTGCTGCTGCTGCTGCTTCCACTCCTTGTAGTACAAGGACTCAAGGAACTTCACATCCCTTGACACAGTCAGCTGCTGGCTGGTCAAGTCCCAAATCAGCCAGCCCTTGTGATCCTTAGCAAGCCCCAAGTGCACACCCCATCTCCCAGAAGCTTCCAGTTTTCCCCTCTTCTCCTTAGGCACATGAAACACCACCATGCACCCAAAGGCTCTCAGCATGTTCACAGCTGGTGCAATCCCATACCACTTGGTGTAGGGGACCCACTGCTTGTCCCCCACAGTCGCCAGCACCCTGTTCTTCACAACAACGACCTGCCGCAGTGCTGTCACCCAAAACGGATCCGGCAGCCCTGCATGCCCAAGGAGAGTGCGAGCACCTTCCTGCAGGGTCCGGTTGAACCGCTCAGCCACGCCATTCTGCTGAGGGTTGTAAGGCACTGTGAGCTGATGCTGGATCCCCTTCCGCTTCAGCTCCTTCTCAAAATCAGCGCCGATGAACTCTCCTCCGTTGTCAGTGCGGATCACCTTCACCTTGTGTCCGCTTTCCCTTTGTGCTCTCGGCATCCACTCCTTAAGAACAGCCGCTGCCACCTCCCCCTTAGTCTTGAGAGGGTACACCCACACCGCACGCGTGTGGTCGTCCACAATCGTCAAGAAGTAGCGGCTACCCGAGAGAGAAAGGGCCCTCGTGGGGCCCACCACATCCATGTGCACTAGTTCAAGTGGTGCCTTGGCTGGTCCTGTGCTGCTGCTGAAGGGAAACTTCGTGAATTTGGTCTCAAGGCAGGTAGGGCAGCTCCCAATCTCCTTTGCTCCCCCCTTCACCTCCAGCCCCTTCAAGCACCCATCCTTTACCAACTTCTGCAGCATAGGAATGTTCACATGGCACAGCCTCTCATGCCACGTCTCCCAATCAGCCTCACCACTCCCAGATGAAGCCTTTGCCCATGCAGCTGTCGCATCCACACCAGCAAGCACCTCACCATGTGGCTGTTGTGGCTGCTGCACCTTCTTGACTGCATCCAGGGGCCCAGCAGTTGGTGCAGTCTCCTCTCCTCCCGCAGTTGCTTTAGCCGCTGCCGCTGCCTTTGCCGTTGCTGGTGGTTTCCCCTTCCAAGGGATGATGGGCAGCTGCCACAAGTCCTTGATGCAGCTGCTCTTCTCCTCCAAGTTCCACAGCAGCAACTTCCCAAGCTTTGCACGGCAGCTGGTTGGGCCGAAGGTAACTTCAGCCTTGCTCTTCTGCAGCCGGCGCACAGAAAGAAGGTTAGCGGACAAACCTTCAACCAACAGCACATTCCCAAGCCCCACAAGCTCTCCATTGGCTCCCATCACCTTGGCATTCCCAACACCAATCACAGGGAGCAAAGCACCTGAAGCGGCAGCCACAAACTTGATCTTCCCAGGAGGTTTTACCTCATCAAGCAAATCTGCCCGTGGGGTCATATGACTCGTGCAACCTGAATCGATCACCCAGTGAGTGAGGGGGTGCATCACAACCTTCCCAACTGAACCCACATCACCCCCACTCCCTTGCACATCCTCAACCATGAGGAACATCCCAGGGTCGGCTTTACCTTGTGCACCATCACCTTGTGCACCTGAACCTTGCACAGCGCCACCGCGTGCACGTTCACCACTTGGCGGCTTCATGCCTGGAGGGGCCCATCCCTCAGGCCGGCTGAAACACTTGAACCACGGGTGTCCAGCCTTCTTGCAGTACCAGCACGCACCCTCCATTCGGGTGCTCCCCCTGCCACCAGAGCTCCCATGCCCCTCATTGTAGTCACCTCGGCCTCTCCCTCTGCCAAAGCCTCTCCCACGGCCTCGGCCTCTCCCTCCCCCTCTTCCTCTGCTGCCTCCTGCAGCTCCATACCCCTCAGCAGTTTTGTTGGCAGCACCACCTCCCGTGTGGCGTCTGCGGAAGTCCTCCTGCAGAATCTGCTGCCGTAGCCACTCAGGCGTCCATTTGTCCTGCTGAACGTTGAGGGTGGGGATGAGGTTGTCCCACGAGTTGTCGAGCACCGAGATGATCTTGGTGCACTGTTGCATCTGCGACACTTCGCTGCCCGCCGCTGCCATCCTCGCATAGGTGTCCTTGATCTTGTCAAGGACCGGTTTCACATCATCTCCCGGTTTCATGGAGAGGGCAGCCAACTCCTTCTCCAACACAATCACCATCGGCAGCGTGTTGGGCTGAATCACGTCGCGTAGCAGCTTCCATGCCTTCGGTCCGGAATCATCCAACTCCACCAAATCCTTGATGTGCTGGAACATGTCGTTGTTGACCGATTGGAGGATGAGGTCGTACAGCACCACGCTCTTCTCAATCCACCGATCGCGGGCATCTCCTTCCCCCGGCATCTTCTCCTCTCCCATTGCAATTTTCAGCAGCTTGTAGCGCTTGAAGGCGCTCCGCATCCGCCCGCTCCATTCCTCATAGTTGGAGCCATCCAAAGCTTCAATCTTGGATGGTGGCGGCTCACTCCTCTTCTCAGCTGCATCTCCACTCCCTTGATTCATCTCCTCTGCTCCCAATCAGAGGTTTCAGCTCCCCCTTTTGCTGGTCACAATGTAGATCCACACAATCTTCACAAGTGTCAGCGCCAACGAAATTTCGGCAGAGTTTCCCCTTAGCGGAAGTCACATCCAACCTCCAGAACTCCACTTAGGCACGCCCACAGGCCATGGTGGGTCTAGGAGGGTCTTCACACTTCAGTAGACTCCCCACAAGGTCCTTAATCACCTCTGATACCACTTGTTAGAGACTAAGGACGGAGTCTATGAAGATTAGGTGCCTAAATTTCTCAAAATCGTTGGTCCCTATTTCTGGACAGAATAGTTGCGCTCACAAGAAACGCCGTCGACAAAAAGTGCACAGTCTAAACTTCACTAAACTCATATATGTTGTAGCCCTACTCCGTGGCTACAATTCCCAAGTTGAAACGTATCAAGAGGTGAAGTAAATCTCGACTTATCAATTTCGGCGCACAGGGGGGTATGCTGCCATAAGAACTTAACTCAATCACAAAGTTCACACAAGTTCACACAAGAGAATTAGAGTAGCACTAAACCAGGTGGAAGGGATAAGGAGGACGAGAGGGAAGGTCCCAAGAGAGTCCCCAACCAAGGAAACCCCATGCCATACAATTCCCTTCCCCATAGGCAACCCAACTTTGACCTTTGTCACTATCCCAACCTCCACAATCCACCTCAACCCAACTTGGCCACACTTGCCAACCTGGTTTGGTTTCTCCCAACCATTTGGCAGCAACTACAGTAGAAAAGACGAATTTCCCAACCCCCAAAAGTCTGTACCCCATATTGAGTCAACCCCACAACTTCCCATAGTCACCACAACCAAATATCAAAAGCATACGAACTCCAACGTTCGTAACTTTCTAGTTCGTGCTCCGATTGAAGCGATACTTGGTTCCTCGGAAAGCTCTTGAGCAGAGGAGTCACTTCAGATATCTGCTCAAGCCAAATAACATTCACACACACACTCAGAAAAACCAAACCGCACAAAACACAAATTCTTGCACACACTCACAACACGCATGCAACGCACGAACATATGATGGGAGGCAGACAGACGTGAATGCGAATGGTAGCATCACTCAACACATGGATGACAAGATAAGGCGTAGCACCCACACACCTGCAGCGCTGGTAGATGACACGGAAGTCACAGGACCGCCTGCAGAGAAGATTACAGGGAGGTTTGGGGACGTGCAGAACGTAGGCAGATAATTAAATCACGATCATGACCATCGCCATCATTACCAGTAGCAGCGGCAGCGGCACCAGCAGCACCAGCAGCAGTACCAGCACCAGCAGTAGCAGAAGTAGCAGTACCAGGCGTGGAAGAAGCTGAAGAATGCACGAGTATGGAAAGCAGGTTGAATTGAACCAAACAGCACTAAGAGCGCAGCATGCAGGTCATTCTCATCACATGCAACATCCCCGCCCAGACAGACCCCTGACTGCTGCACCCACGTTGGGGGAAGGGGGGGGGGGGGGTGGGGGGGGGGGGGAGAAGAAGAGGGGGGGGGGGGGGGGGGGAGTAAAAGAGGGTTACCTGAGCAGAACATGGGCATAAGTGTCTGATAAGGGGAGTTCCTTGTCTCCGATGCAATATTAGAAGCAGAAGCGGGCATACACTCCCCACCACCGTTCCAACACAGGGGAGCGATGCCATTGGTAGTGCCACAGATGATGCAATCAGCAGCAGCTCGTTATTGGGCTCCGTTTTGTTGGCACTTCGTGGGATCAGATAGGCAGTTGTTGTCGCCGATGCAATAGCCAGTAGGAATGACCACGTCTGTAATGAAGTTGTTGTTGATGTACAAAGATTGCATGGTTGCTGGCAGGGCTGGGACGGTTCCAGTGAGGAAGTTGTCACTAAGAGAGCTGCAACGGGGGCAGAGTTAGAGGGTGGACAAGAGAGCAGAGGAGAGCAGTGGTGGGGGGACAACAAGGGTTGTGAATGGTGACGAGGGTAAGGGACTGGGTATGAGGGAAGATAATAAGCAGAGTCGAGAGACAAGGGCACGAAAGGTATGGCACGATTTCACTTACAGAGATTTAAGTGAGGGGAGATTCACGAGAAAAGAAGGGACACTGCCGTATAAATAGTTGCCGGGAAGAATTCTGGCAAGTAAATGGCAGGGTTGGTGAACAGATTGATGACACTCACTCACACAATGCCGGGACAATGTGAAAACGATTGACACGTCGAGACTGGAAGAATTGAGCTCTCATTCAGGAATTTCCGGCTGTGCTGATGAGTTCTGTTTTTGCCACAGCCAAGTGCGTGGGTTCTAACCCCTGCATCAATCATGTTATTCACTTTACCATTCTCGGCTCACATGCCCTTGTCTACTCACATGCCCTTGTCTTCTCACATGCCCTTGTCTACTCACATGCCCTTGTCTACTCACATGCCCTTGTCTACTCACATGCCCTTGTCTACTCACATGCCCTTGAATACTCGCATGCCCTTGTCTACTCACTTTCTCTAGACTACTCACATTCTCTAGACTACTCACATGGAAGTTAGTTTTGAACACCCCTTGAGGTCGGAAATGAAGGTGTCCAAGCGGCCACTGAGGAAGTTAAATTCCAAAAATCTGATTGAGGGCAGGCAGGTTGGAAAACGGGGCGGTGCAGGCGTGACATGGAATGACAGCACACGGCCTGGCAGCTCACAGCATGGCAGCCCACAGCATGGCAGCCCACAGCATGGCAGCCCACAGCATGGCAGCCCACAGCATGGCAGCCCACAGCATGGCAGCTCACAGCATGGCAGCCCACAGCATGGCAGCTCACAGCATGGCAGCCCACAGCATGGCAGCCCACAGCATGGCAGCTCACAGCATGGCAGCTCACAGCATGGCAGCCCACAGCATGGCAGCCCACAGCATGGCAGCCCACAGCATGGCAGCCCACAGCATGGCAGCTCACAGCATGGCAGCTCACAGCATGGCAGCCCACAGCATGGCAGCCCACAGCATGGCAGCCCACAGCATGGCAGCTCACAGCATGGCAGCACACAGCATGGCAGCACACAGCATGGCAGCCCACAGCATGGCAGCTCACAGCATGGCAGCCCACAGCATGGCAGCCCACAGCATGGCAGCTCACAGCATGTCAGCCCACAGCATGGCAGCCCACAGCATGGCAGCCCACAGCATGGCAGCCCACAGCATGGCAGCCCACAGCATGGCAGCTCACAGCATGGCAGCTCACAGCATGGCAGCCCACAGCATGGCAGCCCACAGCATGGCAGCCCACAGCATGGCAGCTCACAGCATGGCAGCACACAGCATGGCAGCACACAGCATGGCAGCTCACAGCATGGCAGCCCACAGCATGGCAGCCCACAGCATGGAAGCTCACAGCATGGCAGCCCACAGCATGGCAGCCCACAGCATGGCAGCCCACAGCATGGCAGCCCACAGCATGGCAGCCCACAGCATGGCAGCACACAGCATGGCAGCTCACAGCATGGCAGCCCACAGCATGGCAGCCCACAGCATGGCAGCCTACAGCATGGCAGCCCACAGCATGGCAGCCCACAGCATGGCAGCCCACAGCATGGCAGCCCACAGCATGGCAGCCCACAGCATGGCAGCCCACAGCATGGCAGCCCACAGCATGGCAGCCCACAGCACGTGGGACGTCTCTTCACCACCATTACAGAATGGCCGCCCTTGGTGGGAGTGAAGCCATCATGCACACTGTGATGCCCTCCTTTCAGACCCACTTGTCACACTCACACCTCTTGCAGCAAGTGTGCGTCAATCAAGTGCACTCAAGCAGCTGTGCTTCAAGCAACAAACCGTACAGGACTTAACAGTTATCAACGCGTTTGCCAGGGCTCGTGTGGAGCATGCGGCCTTCGTCCCCTACCTAGTGAAGACTTCTGGCTGATCAGGGCGGACGCTCCCACCACTTCTGGCTGATCAGGGCGGACGCTCCCACTCACATCTCTGCACGCTTCTACACCATGTGCCGAGGTTCCATTTTCCTCAAGCTATTGCTCGATGTGCCCGCTTGGAGCTTCTTTAATGCAGTCCCTTCCACCTACCCGGCTGCCAAGTTGCTCCATCCGAACGGATAGCGCTTGTCGTAGCAATTCACCAAGGGACTAGGCATGAGCACAGGTTGATCCCACCCGACCCAGCCCAACTTTCCTCAAGCCGGGTCAGGTCGGGTCAGCCTGAGGGTGGGGACAAAATGCTGATTTTGTTTTACGATTCCTATCGACCAAGCCGACCCATCTAAAAAGGGTCGGGTCAAGGTTGACCTGCTGGCAAGATTTGGGTGGGGTCGACGTGGTCAGGTGGAGCCCGCCGGGTAGAAGGGAAGGACGAATCAGAGAGAAACGAGTGGAGGGGAACTGACAGGACGGAGAGGGCGGTGAGCTTGGACATGTCGGAATGCAGGCTGCCTTTGAGGTTCCTTTGTCCCAAGTATCTGCAAGCAACCGAGCCAAGAGTGTGCGGCACCAACCGGGAAATTGAGATGCGGGGGAGGGGGGCAATAGGTATGGTATAGACATTACTAGGAGTTCGGATGGGCTCTGGTTGAATGTGAGGAAAATATATACAAACGATGGATTGGTAGCACTAGATCGACAGGTGATACGCCCCAAGTGTTATGCCAAGTCTGGCTCTAGAGCTGCGCTGATACGAGAGAACGGGTAGAACGGCTTTTCTGCACAGGTGACTGGCGGGGAAACGCGGGGAAGACTTTATCACACTTGTGCTTGCTTTACGGTTGTTTGAAACACTTGCAAGCTTCAAATCTCTCGGAACACTCGTGCAGACGTGCGTTCTCGTATGACTCACAAGACTGTGGGAGACCCGTCAGAGGAGCAGACAACATCAAAAAAGGTGTTTCCCGGCGGGGAAAATGGGCTGCCTGTGTTGCAGAGAGAGTAGGCGGCCCAACTATTGTATCTTGGATTTAGGTACAGACCCAGAGATGACTTGAGGGATAGCAACGCAGACACTGGATGGAGAGAATGGGCAGTGAAAGAGAAAGGTGGAGAGGACAGATTAAGCACGATCTGGGCACGGTTGAAAGAAGAATAATGTGGTAAGTCGAAGATGTATGCACGCAGAAAGGGTGTAGCCTGCAGGCTGTTTGATTGGTGACTGAAGCAACAGTGGAGATTGCAGGAAGAGAGCGCTTGAGACAGACGGGTGCAGGAAGAGTGGAGAAGCAAGGGTGTTGGCATGGGAGAAGGCTCACTTGAAGAACCAGTAAAGTAGGCATAGGGGTATGAAGCAGCTCCTGTACAGGCACCACGGGGACAGTCAGACACAGGGACAGCCAGACACGAACCAACGAACCAATGGACCAGTCAGTCAAAACTCAGATGAATATTTCTGGCAACAAATGATTGGGAGAATCTTAGAATCAATCGATCAGATCAGACAATTAGATGGTTGCGATAAACAGGCAACAGACAGTAGTTGCATTCCTATTGCAGTGGCGGTGGTTCACAACATGCCAGGCCACGCCACATCGTATCATTCCCATGAGCTTGTTCGTGGGTCTCCTTAGTGCCACTTCATAACAATTCCATGCTGTTTCATTTGTTCTCTTTTCTTATACGAGCCTCCTCTCCTCCCTGCCACTCAACACGCAACACGCACCTTGGCAAGACAAGGCCACCGGTGGCAGCGAGGGGACGTTGACAATCCCCTGGCTGACTGGCAGAGAGCTGTCAGCGGAGCAAACTGCACCACCGCACAAAGTTCCCTGCCCGTTGGTCGAGCCACAGATGGCGCAGGCAGAGGTGGGGCGCTGCAGTGTGCCGTAGGTGTGACAGTAGGAGGAGTTGAGGAAGCAGTTCTGGTCGGCCGCACAGACCGCGAGGGAGAGATTGGGGAAGGAGCCCGAGAGGTAGTTAAAGCCCACGTCCAGAGCGACCAGGGAGGTGGAGGGGATGGGGATGGTGCCCGTGAGGTAGTTGGAGAAGAGGCCTCTGGGCGAAGTTGGGGGGAAGGAGAGTGGGGGGAGAGCAACGGTTCAGAGGGGAGCAGGCGTGAGTCATGAGAGTAAGACAAAAGCGATATGTGACAAAGAGAAGGGAACAAACCGCTTTCAGGCATGATCCTTTCCTTGAACCCCTATGTTGGGCACAGAGGCAATGACGAGCCTCATGCCACCTAGAAGGGCTGGACACTGTACCAAGGTAAAAAAATACGGTTTTCATACATTATGCTCCGTTTTTTTAGGTAAATTCTCAAAACTACGGCCTTTTTTTTGTAAGAGAACTCTTGTCACCAAGAAAAAAAATAACAAAAACAAGGCCGAATACATTTTCAATCATGCCCACAAATGCACACATGCAAGGAGGGGTTCGTCCTCTTCATTCTGGTGAATTTCGCCATCAATTTGGTCTCATATAATGGCAGATTTTTTCTTCTAACAACAGTCACCTTCTGGAAGCGTTTTTTTTTTTTTTTCGTTTTTTGCGGCCGTTTTTTACGATACCGTTTTTTTACGGTAATTTTTCAAAAAAAACAGTCTTTTTTTCTAACCTTGAGCCTTTGGGTCTAACAAGGTTCGAGTTGAACCGAACCGCTTCCGTTTGACCATGAGAGCAGTTTAACGAAGTTGGAACCGAACCTCATGCCATCTAGTATGGCTTACAGTGTGGTGAGCTGGGGCAGAGAAGCAATGGTGGAGGGAATGGATCCTTCAAACCAGTTGTCGCTTAGAAATCTGGAGGGGGAGGAGAGAGCAGGAATGCACCAGGAGGGAAGAGAATGAGAGGTACATGAGAAACGCATATTGAGAACGGCCAGAGGAAGGGATACCGGGATTTGAGCTCGGCATGGCTTGTATATTGTACACACGCTGCACATAAGCGATGATGAGAATGTTTTAACGGCCCTTATTGAGGAGAATGTACTCACAGCGCCTTCAGAGAGGTCACGTCTTTGATTGGTGCGGCCCACAACTCGAGTCTGCCTCGAAAAAGGTTGTAGCTAAGATCCTTGAAGCAGTTGGGGGTGAAATTAAGTTTTGTGAATCACAAATCTGGTAGGGGATGGTTGTGGCTTGTAGAGAGAGACGCTACTTACCAAGGCCATTGTCCGTGAGAGCATCACATCCTGATTCACCCCTTTTTCTGCAGATGCATGCATACATCGTATTCAACCTCTCTGAGGGGCGACGGACGGCCGTTCACTATGGACAAGAGATTAGAGCAAAGCAAATTGTCCGTCAGTATCCCTTCCCATCTCCCTTACCCCGTGCCCAAATGACTGACCATGAGACCCCGCCAGGAACGAGAAACTTCTTTTCCTTGGTGTGTGGCACACGAGCACTCGATAGTCGGCATTCCCGTTGCAGTGCAGTCCTCCTGTGTGGCTGTACGTAAGCTACAAGCTCCTGTGCGTGCACTCCCTGATTCACCCTTACAGGTAAGTGAGAGCGGTGAGCTTGGAGATGTCCGTAAGAATTGACCCCTTTAGACTCTGACGTGCCACCGAGCTGAAGGGGGGGGTGATGGGAAGAGGCAGAGGGATGGGTGTAGAAGGAGTTGATAGAGGCGGGCTGGTTACCTGTCTGACCCCCTCCTTCCCTTTAACGCACCACCGAGCTGAAGCACCACCGAGATGTAGGGGAGGGGGGGTGGGAGATGGGTGTGCGGGGAAGGTGATAGAGGCTGGCTGAAAGTTCAGCTGTCGGTTGGTCCCGTCCCTCCTCTTGAAAAACCTGCTGTGAAGAGCACTCGAGTCTGTCAGGAAACCACACGTCTTTAGGATTGCACATCCGTCGGGCAAAGTCACAAACATTTGGAACGAGTGGAAATCGATAATGTTCCGCGCGGTATCCACCCAGTGCCCAACCAGTGCCGCACAGCCCCATTTCCCCATTGCCTCTCTACCCTGCTGCCTCGCTGCCCACTCACATAGACTCCACAGAGCTGGCGAGATTGCAGAAGACGCCAGTCCACTCGTTCTGGAGGGGCGTTAACCTCCCGGTGATGCGGCAGAGGTTGGTGGAGGCCCATGTGGTGACGGTCGAACCCAAAGCAGCCCTCAACGCCATCATTGCCGCGGCTGCCAGGGGGTGAGTGGAGGTCCGGGAGGTAAAGTGGGAAGCAGGTGAGAAGATCGCAAGCAGGGGGTGCGAGGGAGAGCGCAAGAGTCGAACAGTTCGAGAATGCAGGAGTAAGAAGAGAGTGATATTGCAAGAGTGCAAAGGCACAAGGCGGAAGGAGGGCAGGAATGCTACAAGTACGAGAGTACAAGAGGGCGAGATTGGAGGAATGCGAGAGGAAAGTGCGGGTTTGCAACAGTGCAAGTGTTAGAGCGCAAGAGCGAGAGAGTGCAAGGTGTGGAATTGCGTGTGAAAATGGCGCAAGAATGCACAATTGCGAGAGTGGGACAGAGAGAGAGTGCAAGAGCAGAAGAGTGCACGAGTGCTAGAGTGCACAGGTGTGGTGGCAGCAGATTATCTGAGAGACACGAGGAGCACTCACTCTGAGTAGAATCAATGTTAACGCCGTACACTTAACACTGCAACACCAGGTCTGGAAGCATATAGTTCATAGACTTGGCAGCGATTCTCGCGTCGTCATCCGGCTCGCACGACTGCCCCGAGCTACACAGCGTGCCGGTGCCATCAGTGCTGCCGCAGATGGCACATGCGGCACTTGTACGCTGACTGGTGCCGTCGCACGTGCCCAAGGAGCTGAGGCAGTTCATGCTGCCATAGCATGTGGTCCAGGTGGAGGACGGCAGAGAGCCCACGAAGAAGTTGCTGTTTATCAAGAGGGAGTTGAGCTTGGTGATGGTGGATGGGAGGGAGCCCGTGAGGTAGTTGAATGAGATGTCTCTGTGGGGGTTTGTTTGAAGAAGGGGGGGTTGGAGGTTTTGAGTGCGGGAAGTTGTAGTAGCAGTGATATGTGGTGTGGGGGGGGGGGGGGGTGGGGGCGGGATGAGGGATGGCATCGAGGTTCATACAACTTGAAAATAATGGATAAGTGGACAGGCATACTTACAGCGAGGTAAGGCTCGTTGAGCCTAGGAGGAAGCTTGGGAACTGTCCAGAGAGATACATACTCGCCATGGACCTGTCAGGGAACAACGAGAA